ATTGTTGTTGTGATGGCTGAAGGAAGAGGGACGGGGAGGGAAATTCAGAGGGTGAAGAAGCAGAAAAATAACTTGTTTGTAAAACGGACAGCACGTCAGTTTCAAGAAAGATGACACCGGTTTTATGCATGACATGCCAAATATCCTGAAGCCCTACAAAAAAAAAAGGTACAAGTATATTGTGTTGAAAATATCGCAAAAAGTCGTAATATTGTATAATGTATTAGTTGCATGTTGTATTTTGATAAAAATCACTGTATATTCAAAAATATAATGGAAAAAGGAGAGAAAAAACAAATATCACAGTATGTTGAAAAATATGAAAAAAGTAATGTTGTGTTAACCATGGCACTTGGACTATTTACATCATCCAGGGCTCAACACCAGTAAATACACCTCTCTTTATCCGCTCTCCAAGCCTCCAAGGGCAGACTCCTGAGTTCCGTAATGTCCCCCTAACATGACACTTAGACTATTTACATTATCTAGGGAAGCACACCAGTAAATCTTCCTTATAGTTAATAAAGTAATTAAACAATAAAAAGACAATACCATGGGGTCATTAAGATCTTTAAATTATTATTTTCCTCTCAAAGAGACTTCGTTGTAGTTAATAAAGTAATTAGACATTAGTTCGCAAGCCATACAACTAAAGAGAACATCCTTAGTTAACACAAATCATATTGAAACTAATCTAATTTAGAGAGGACAATACAAGTTTTAGGTGACTTAGTGAGTGAAAATTAATGGCTGATAGCAAAATCAGGAGGTGACAGGCTGGGGGAGGGGAGGGGTGGGAGGGGATGGGTGTGATGGGAGACAGTCTCACACATCCAGACCACAGTTTAAGTTTCTTTGCTTTTTGATGCAGGTATCATGGTCATTGCACGTACGATGCCTGAACGACTCCACAATGCATCCACGATGGTTTCTTTATGCACTGCTTTTTCTGATACAACGGTTGCACTGAGATCTCTGGAAGACACCAGAGTTAACACAGCCCAATGGGGGATTAAGATCTTTAAATTATTATTTTCCTCTCAAAGAGACTTCATTGTAGTTAATAAAGTAATTAAACATTAGTTCGCAAGCCATACAACTAAAGAGAACATCCTTAGTTAACACAAATCATATTAAAAGTAATCAAATTTTTTAGCTGACTTAGTAAATGAGAATTAATGGCGGATAGCAAAATCAGGAGGTGACAGGCAGGGAGAGGGGAGGGGTGGGAGGGGTGTGAGGGGAGACAGTCTCACACATCCAGACCACAGTTTGCGTTTCTTTGCTTTTTGATGCAGATTTCATGGACATTGTACATACGATGCCTGAACGACTCCACAATGCATCCACGATGGTTTCTTGATGCACTGTTTTTTCTGATACAACGGTTGCACGGAGATCTCTGGAAGACACCAGAGTTAACCTGTTCCACTCTGAGCCTGTTTTTCAGGTCTCAGGCTCGAAAATGACATTCCCAGAACAAATGACCATATCTTCCCTTCTAAAAGGGTTAAATTAATAATCTTTTTTCTCAAAGTAATGATAAACCTGTGAGTTGGATGTAGAAGTGTCAGAATCAATATAAATGTTTTTTATTTTAAAGAAAATCAGATTTTACATAGTAAAAAACTGTAAATTATAGTGTCCGTCCAAAAATTATTTTTTACAGATAGTGAAAACTACCCTTGGATGATGGGTTAGTAGACTAAAAGCTTTAGGAATCCAAAGTACAACATATAATAAGTACCCTGTATCAAGATTGATGCAAAACAAGTGAAATTTGACCTTTTTAGAGAGATTTAGCCAAAAACTGGGCCATCTGGGGTCATTTGGGTGGATTTGACCTATCTCTGGCCCCCCTTGCTCGATCTGGTTGGTTGACATACCCTTGTGACCGTTAGAGCCAATAGAATCGAAGGAAGAGACTCACATAGACACACATTGTAAAGAAAAAATGTTGCCGCTTCGCGCGTGGAAAGCGAAACTAAACTGGAGGAATGTCTCCTTCTGGAGTTTGGAAACTAAAACGCAGTTGTATTGCTTATGGATTATCAGAAATAATTTCAAAGAAGGCACAGACACATAGGATGAACCTATGGATTAACTGCAGCATCGTTTTTTTATCGTTTTAATGCCATTGAAGACCACTTTTGACCAAGGTAAGCCATATTTACATGTTTAGCTTCTTGGCTCCACATGTGATGATGTACGCTTTCGTTGATAGCGTCGCGAATGTTTATCACTGAGTGTTGAGGTGGGCACCGTTAGATTCAGTGTCTCCAGGACACCAAAAAAGAGTGTTTGGTTGTGCATCTAGGATAAGTAATAAGGGAGTTCTGAGTGAGTTTATGTGCCTTTGTAGGTTACGTTTTTTCGTCGAGGCTAATTCAGAGGCTGAGTGCTAGCATTGTGGGTTTTTTTTGAAAAAAAAAATTAAAAAGATCAGTTAGCTGAGTTTCTTCCCGTTACATGGATATAACACATTCATAGTTTTATTCAATATTAAGATTCCTTAGACGTTGTTTCCTGCAAATGACGCGTTTATCCGCCCGGTACCGGGGGGAAGGCGTGAAACAGGTTAACACAGCCCAATCTGTTGAGGTCAACATTCGCTTTAACACTGCGGGGCCCATAAGTTTCTCCATTCTTCAGATTGTAGAAATGTAGTTCATTCGCCATATAGTTGAACACATAACCCCAAACATCTCCATTTTCCCGACTCCATTTTTCATGAAGAACCTCAGACGGAGGGGTCTGAACCCGGCACAGATACTGCATCTGTTTCTTGACTGGCGCTCCCGACGGATGGCGGTAAGTTGTCACAGGCGTCTTGCTGATTAAACCCATTTCGATGCGTCTCTTTGCCATTTTCGTTTTTGAAAGTTTAGGTGACTTGGTGAGTGGGGATGACTGGCTTTTTATCTAGTTTGCGCAGATTTCTTTTTTACCTAACTCCACCCCCCACCTCTATCTTCTGACATCACAGCAAAATGAAGGGTGACGGGGTTGGAGGAGGACGGGGGTGCGAGACAGTCTCACACAACTTCAAAGAGACTGCCTTAATACTAGTTACAAACACTGATCAAAGGACATACTTCAAAGGGCTAATTAGATTAGACATCAAAGGCTTATAACACGTCGGTGTGATATCACACCGGCATGTTATAACACCTCACCCCCTTACATCAAAGGACTGACATCAAAGGGTAATTAGATTAGACATCAAAGGCTTATAACACGTCGGTGTGATATCACACCTACATGTTACAACAACTCACCCCCCTTACATCAAAGGACTGACATCAAAGGGCTAATTAGATTAGACAACAAAGGGGCAGACATCAAAGGCTAATTAGATTAGACAACAAAGGATCTACTACAAGGGGGAATATCACACCTCCATGTTACAACACCTCACCCCTCACATCAAAGGATATCACACCTATCTGTGATATCACACCTACACGTGATAACACCTCGAACAAAGGGGCTCATTAGCATATCAAAGGGGCTCATTAGCATAAGTAGTAGTGGGTGTGACCTGTCACAGTACCTGTCACTTTGTATGCATACTAATGTGATTGAAACAGTATATGTATAACTACCGACAGACTTTAACCCTCTTACTGTTTTTACCTCAGCTGAACCTGTACACAATAACTATAATTATTATTATTATTATTATCAATCATTACTCAGATAATAACTCCACACAGAGACCCTCTATTTCATCTGATGACTTGCTGTCCATACTACTGTATCGTGTGTGTGTGTGTGTGTTCATGTGTGTGTGCGTGTGTGTGTGGGTTTGTGTGTGTGTGTGTGTCGCCATATTCACTGAGCTGTGATTGGTTGTTCCTCGTCACATGACGAGCAAAGTATTTAAAGAAAGATTGTCAAATCAAAAATACAAGTGGAAACAAAAGAGGAATAAATGAATTATTTAAATAAATGTTGAATTATGAAGGAAGAATAAATAAAAGAACGAAAAAACATAATTTGATTAATTTGTTAGAATGCTAAATATTAGGTGGAAAAACAACACCACCGCTCTAGCGAGGAAAGCCCAGCCGCGCCTGTACTTCATCCGGAAGCTCAAGCGAGCCGGAGCATCACCCCCCATCATGCTGTCCTTCTACCGAGGCGCCACCGAGAGCATCCTCAGCAGCTGCTTAACGCTGTGGTTCGGAAGCTGCAGCGCATAGTGAACTCTGCCCAGAGGATCATCGGTGCCTCACTCCCCTCACTACAGGACATATACAACACCCGCCTCACCCGCAAAGCACTCAGCATTGTGGGTGACTCCACCCACCCCTCCAACAGCCTCTTCAGCCTCCTGCCTTCAGGAAGAAGGTTCCTCAGCCTCAGCTCGCGCACCTCCAGGCTGGGCAACAGCTTCCTCCACCAGGCGGTCAGGATGCTGAACTCTCTCCCCTCTCTCCATCTCTTCCGCCCTCTGACATCTCTCCCCTGAACTCTCCACCCTGCCTCCGACCTTTCTCCCCTGCCCCAAATGGTCCTGGACTCTAACCCCCTAAACTCACTTTTCTGCCCATCTCCGCTGCTACTGCACTGAAACTGTACTTTGAACACTTAAATTATATTATTAACATTTTAATCTGTATACCCCGGTTATCTAGGCCCTTTGTTTTGTTTAATGTATACCATGTTTATCTAGGCCCTTTGTTTTGTTTGATGTATATATGTCACACTGTAGGACTGCGGGAAACGATATTTTGATATTTCTGGATGTACAACATGTAGAATTATTGACAATAAAGCTGACTTTGACTTTGAATAATTTAAAAATACAAATCAATGTTTAAATACTAAAATTAGAAAATAAATAAATAATATATGTGGAAATGTAAACATTAGTAATTAAAGAAAGCAATAATGTGAAAATACATAGAGGAATAAATGAAGAGAAAGTTCCTCCCTCTGCCACCAGAGGGCGACACATCCCCTCGTTTTGAAGTGCTTCCTGTTTGCTGTTAAGTTACACTTCGTGCTCGTCGTGTCGCACCTTCTTCTTCTCTCTAAAGGTTTGTAACTCTTTGTGACTTTAGAGCTTTTAGAGACAACTCTTATCAATCATTGCTCAGAGAATAAGAACAACTCTTTGTGACTTTAGTTACTTCAGACTTTAGAGTAAATTCAGAGACAGACTTTAACCCTCTTCCTGTTTTTACCTCAGCTGAACCTGTACACAATAACTATAATTATTATTATTATTATTATCAATCATTACTCAAATAATAACTCCACACAGAGACCCTCTATTTCATCTGATGACTTGCTGTCCATACTACTGTGTGTGTGTGTGTGTGTGTGTGTGTGTGTGTGTGTGTGTGTGTGTGTGTGTGTGTGTGTGTGTGTGTGTGTGTGTGTATGTTTGTCGCCATATTCACTGAGCTGTGATTGGTTGTTCCTCGTCACATGACCAGCAAAGTATTTAAAGAAAAATTGTCAAATCAAAAATACAAGTGGAAACAAAAGAGGAATAAATGAATTATTTAAATAAATGTTGAATTATGAAGAGGAATAAATAAAAGAACGAAAAAACATAATTTGATTAATTTGTTAGAATGCTAAATTTTAGGTGGAATCATTTAAAAATACAAATCAATGTTTAAATACTAAAATTAGAAAATAAATAAATAATATATGTGGAAATGTAAACATTAGTAATTAAAGAAAACAATAATGTGAAAATACAAACAGGAATAAATGAAGAGAAAGTTCCTCCCTCTGCCACCAGAGGGCGACACATCCCCTCGTTTTGAAGTGCTTCCTGTTTGCTGTTAAGTTTCACTTCGTGCTCGTCGTGTCGCACCTTCTGCTTCTCTCTAAAGGTTTGTAACTCTTTGTGACTTTAGAGCTTTTAGAGACAACTCTTATCAATCATTGCTCAGCTCTTTGTGACTTTAGTTACTTCAGACTTTAGAGTAAATTCAGAAACAGACTTTAACCCTCTTCCTGTTTTTACCTCAGCTGAACCTGTACACAATAACTATAATTATTATTATTATTATTATCAATCATTACTCAGATAATAACTCCACACAGAGACCCTCTATTTCATCTGATGACTTGCTGTCCATACTACTGTATCGTGTGTGTGTGTTTGTGTGCATGTGTGTGTGCATGTGAGTGTGGGTTTGTGTGTGTGTATGTGCATGTGTGTGTGCGTGTGAGTGTGGGTTTGTGTGTGTGTGTGCATGTGTGTGTGCGTGTGAGTGTGGGTTTGTGTGTGTGTATGTTTGTGTGTGTATGTTTGTCGCCATATTCACTGAGCTGTGATTGGTTGTTCCTCGTCACATGACCAGCAAAGTATTTAAAGAAAAATTGTCAAATCAAAAATACAAGTGGAAACAAAAGAGGAATAAATGAATTATTTAAATAAATGTTGAATTATGAAGGAAGAATAAATAAAAGAACGAAAAAACATAATTTGATTAATTTGTTAGAATGCTAAATATTAGGTGGAATAATTTAAAAATACAAATCAATGTTTAAATACTAAAATTAGAAAATAAATAAATAATATATGTGGAAATGTAAACATTAGTAATTAAAGAAAACAATAATGTGAAAATACATACAGGAATAAATGAAGAGAAAGTTCCTCCCTCTGCCACCAGAGGGCGACACATCCCCTCGTTTTGAAGTGCTTCCTGTTTGCTGTTAAGTTTCACTTCGTGCTCGTCGTGTCCAAGCCCCCAGGAAGTGCGCCGGACTCAGATGAAAATATTCGTGCTGGCCAAACGGCGGTACTACACTTCCTTTTGGTTGCCAGGCCCGGAAACACTTTTTCCCATTAACTTACATGGGGAAAGAGTGGTCTGTAAATCGTTGGATAATTTTTTTTAAACTAAATAAACTACCCAGTATGAACACTTGTATAGCCCTTATTAAAAACATTCGTTCCTCAAGTTGTAAAAATGTGCTAATAACGTTATTCTGAGAGTTATTTCCCTCTGCATTATGAACGCGCATCTAACCCACGGGACCGCGCCGCCCGGCACGTTCATGTTACGTGTTCAGCACTAGTACATGCGTTTATCTTTACCCATGGATGTACAATAAGAACGGACCCATATCGCCTTACTGCCAGCCCACGGAGCTGTAATAATGGATATATTGCACATGTTTGCTGTAATTCATCATTTGTAAAATATTATACTACATGGGCTGTATGATTAAATCTTGTACCGTAAATGTTGTATTAAATATAGTTAATATTACCGACGTAGATTAACGTCCCTGTAGCTTCTTATTGCACTAAGAAGCTTATTGCACTGTATATATATAAATATATATATATATATATATATATACAGTGCAATAATTCTTTCATGCTAAATGAAGCTCTGTTGCTTGGATATCACTAGATCCTGTTACAGCGTAATATAAAAGTACATAACGATTGATGTGTAAATTAGCATAATTACTAGCTAACCGCTAGGTGCTAACTGCCGCCTCGTTAATATCAAATCTATCATAATAACAAACCATTACCATGCTGTCATGAACGTGCGGTGCTGTTACGTGTACGCAAATTGACGTGCTTGATGTGAACGAGCATTTTGGGGGGAATGGTTAAAGTTGCGCATGCGCTATGAGCGCACATACGGGTACTTCTCAGGCATGCCGGGTAATCTGTGACGTTTCGCTCTCTCAAAAGTTGGGCCATTTAATCATCATGCGCGAATGAGCAACTCTCATAGGAATGAATGAGGCCCCGCCTCCCACGCTGTATCCAGTTCTTATTATACATCCATGGTCGTGTCGCACCTTCTGCTTCTCTCTAAGGTTTGTAACTCTTTGTGACTTTAGAGCTTTTAGAGACAACTCTTATCAATCATTGCTCAGAGAATAAGAACAGCTCTTTGTGACTTTAGTTACTTCAGACTTTAGAGTAAATTCAGAGACAGACTTTAACCCTCTTCCTGTTTTTACCTCAGCTGAACCTGTACACAATAACTATAATAATTATTATTATTATTATCAATCATTACTCAGATAATAACTCCACACAGAGACCCTCTATTTCATCTGATGACTTGCTGTCCATACTAGTGTATTGTGTGTGTGTGTGTGTGTGTGTGTGTCGCCATATTCACTGAGATATTTAAACATTAGTAATTAAAGAAACCCATAATGTGAAAATACATTATACAGGATTAAATATAGAGAAAGTTCCTCCCTCTGCCACCAGAGGGCGACACATCCCCTCAGCCTCATTCACAGGAACACTGTTTAATAAAACACATTAAAAACTATAGTAAACAGAGATAGGAGTACAAGAGCATGCCATTAAACTAGATTAATAATAAAGGGTAACATTTATAAATATTGGAAACAGAAGTTGTGATACAAAGAACTGTAAAAGTAGAAAAGTATTATCATCAAAATATAGTGAAAGTAGCGACAGTAAAAGTAGTCATTGTGCAGATTGGTCCATTTCAGAATAATATATATGATATGTTTTATAATGATTGATCATGAAAGTGTTCTCAAAGCTGGTAAAGGTGCAGCTAGTTTGAATGACTTTGTATACTGCAGGGTAGCTTGTGGATTTACTCCAGGTGGAACTAAAGTCTGATTTAACACTTGATTAGATTTCACATCATTCATCCACATCTGTGAAGTAACTAAAGGTATTAATACATGTAGTGGAGGAAAAGTACACCATTTACCTCTGAACTGTAGTGGAGTAGAAGTGACTAATCAGTAATCCAGATCTGTAAAGTAACTAAAGGTATTAAATAAATGTAGTGGAGTATAAGTACACCATTTACCTCTGAACTGTAGTGGAGTAGAAGTACAAAGACCTGGACCTGGAACTGGACCTGGACCTGGACCTGAGTCCCGCTGTTTGTCCTCAAAGAGTGACCGCTCAATGGAGCCTCAATCTGCTGATGGGGGGTAAGAATAACATCTAAAAGCGGTTTGAGATAAAGTCAGTTGTTGTCTGTGTTAAAGCTTCTCTGTGTAACCTTCAGGAAATCCTGGTTATTAGCGATGTCAGTGGGCGTTAAGTGAACTGCAGTTACTTTTTTTCTCATAAAAAATAATTTTACTTGTAAAAAGTACATTATCCGTACCGGATACTAATTTCAGCCAAGTTTTAGTCTCAACCCTACTTCAAATACTCGCTATTTCACTCGGGCAGCTCTTAATTTCCAACCCGCGGCTGGCTAGCTAGCTCGCTAACATGCTAAAGATTTCCCTAAAACTAACTAACGTTAAATATGAAATATGCATCAAAAATGGTGGCGACAGACCGTCTGAGACAGAGACTAACGTTAGATGATTAATTTGCATTGTCCGCATGCGTGTTACATACAATGCCGAGGCTGACGCATGTTATCAATTTAATGCAACGGATTATTCAGAGTTTACAAGTATTATTTAAAGTTGAAGTTTTTGTAACTTGTCTTAATTTGTTGTTATGGGCAGTGGGTTCACTCAGCATGATAACATTTGCCCTCAGGACTCAAGGTACTGCACTCAGATGGCTCCAGTCCTACCTCACTGAACGATCCCACTTCATCTCCCTTAGAGCCTTCTCAGTGGCAGCTCCTAGGCTGCATCTCAGGTCGATTCAATGGATTCCTTGCGTCCCTCACTTGCGTGGTTTCCCTGCGTCTAGTCCCTCCCACCAGGAAGCATGGAGAGACGCAAGCAAACCACGAGAAGCAGGGAAATGAGTTTTAAGAGCAATGGGACGTCCTTTCCTCCGGAGCGTCACGTGAAGCCACGTCCGTTTGTGATGACGCTGCACAGCTGATCGTCTGACAGCAGCTCTGTCCCCGTTGTTTTCACAAACACCCCCGCCTCTGTTAGTACACATTTACTGACACAAACATTTGTATCATCTGTTGTCGACCCAAATACATTAAATAAGAACTCATTCTCAAAAAAGATAAACGCCATTCTTAAAATGTATAAACGAAAAAAGCGATCATGAAAATGTTTCCAATAAATGAATAAAATGATCTTTTGTCCACTTTGTTGTTCAGATATATCACATATTTGTAACTGAATGATGCATTCATTATTATATTATTATAATCATTTATCGCTCCTCGCTCCTCGCTCCTCGGGCAGAAATAAGCGCCATGGGACGCTACTCAAGATGGCGCAGACAAATCAACTTCCGGTGAGACCGAGGACCAACGAGCGAGGAAATGAAAATAACAGACCTGAGACGCAGCCCTAGGCTCTGGAATTCCCTCCCCCTCCCCTCTTAAACCGTGCTCCGCGCTGTAGTGGAAACGCGCCATGAGTGTGTGTGCTACTGTTTGGGGTTTGTTTTTAACTGTGTAATACAGTTAATTATTCAAAATGTTAGAGATCCTTATTTTTATACTGAAACTTGCACTACTGTTCAAAAATAAATAACAACAACCTTGGAATTATGCATTTGGGACTTTATTTTGCTTTTTCTTGTTGTCCCGAACCGTGAATTCTGTGAACCGTGACACCCCTAATTTATACCACTACATGGTTATATAAAATGACTTTAAATTAAACATATATTTCATCATTTTTCTCCAGCGTGCCAATGTATGCATCTGTTTCTGTTTCAGGGTCCAGCAGCAGAGACCAGACTCTCCCAGCTGTCTGTCCTTCAAGAGCGACCGGTCGAAGGACGACGTCATGAACTTTAAAGGACGACCTCCATCTGCTGATCAGAAGTAAGCTGTAACTCATAGTAAGAGTCCGGTTATGATAGAATAAACCCAGTTTGTATAAAGTGTTGTCCGACCCCTCCTCATGTCCAAAGTGTTTAGTTGTGAACGTCCACACTGGGAGGGGCAGTGAAACTCCATCTGAAAACTCAGGCTGTCCCTAGCGATGGACCACTACGGCCACTTTGTATACAAATTGCCTGATGCCGGCAGGAAGTGGCCGGGGCGCTGCACCTACACGCTTTTGGCTGTTGGGGGTGCTACGTGCATGCGGGCCCCGTACGCTTCAAGTACCCTGAGTCCACTTCGTGGGACCCCTTATTGGGGGCTAAAGGCCCATTCTGCCCAAAACTCCCACTTCGCCCCAAAATGCCATAACTCAAGGCCGGTTTCGCCCAAAAGTCCCGGAAATGGCTGGGCGCTCCTAAAACACCCAGACCCAGAGGGGTCCAAAGCAGGTGTGCATGGCCCCCAAACGTTGTGGGTGTGATCCAGAGGGCCCAATGTGTCCAGTGTTCGAATTACCCATTTGCTTTCGGGGGAGCCCTATTTTTTTGTGCACATCCTGCTACTAAACATGTCACACGCACGCTCTGTTGACTGGCGCAGCAGCGCGGATGCGATCAATTGCTATAAAAACACTCTGCTACTACTACAGACGGTATTACTGCCAAAGCACAATAACATTTCAGAGAGAATGAATAACAACATGAGGCTACCGTTTCAAAACCAATTGATAGCCATTAGCCAACATTTATTTAATTGCAACAAACAAAGCAACGACATCAGCTGCTGTTGGGGACACATGGCAACGTTTCTCAGATGTGTATAGGCTATATAACATAGGCACGGCGGCCTCAGAATTTAAATGAGTTGAAATTAATCCAAGAAAATAATGAGACTAGCTATCCAAAACGAATGATTTATTATTGAGCAACAACAATGAATGGAAATGTTAATACTACACTCCACCACACATGTAGGCCTAATCCAACAGTCCTATAGATTGATTAGACTAAGCAAGTCAATCAGTCTGATAAAAACCTAATAAATCACACAACCAAAGAATATATCAACAGTAGGACTGGGGCCAGTCCAAACAAACACAAAGCTCAAACAGTCAAATGGACTCTCTTACCTTACTGTAAAAGCGACCACAGGGACCTGGGCGGCTTCTTCTTCACTTTCGGTCCCGGAACCCATGATGTGGAGGGTTTGTGGCCAGCTTTGATCCAAGACCGTACAACTGGCTGAGGGTCGAATTGCTCCGGGGGGGGGCGCCATTGATGTCTACGAAGAGAAGCGAGAAGAGGCTCTTCTCCCGCAACTTGTTGCGTTTGTCGGTGTCGGTCGAATTGACGGCAGAAAACCCCCTCTCACACTCAGCTGATGTAGGCAGAAAGGTCTTGCTCGCTGTCTGCAGTCTTTGCAGGGCTTTCCCTGGAGATTTATTCTCTAATTTGTAGTCCCGAAACTCCTCAATGGCCTCTCGGGCCGGTTCCCCCAGTACTTTTGCCAGTGCGCGTACTTCATTCTCCCCATAGAGAATCAGGGCGCTTCGTTGTTCGGGCCAAAAGCGCTTGTCCAGTGGTTTTAGCATGCGGACCAGGTCCGGTTCAGGCAGTCGCTTCTTCAAACTGTCTATTATAGACTGGTAAAACTGCAGACGGTTTATCTTGGGCCTGCTCTCTGAGAGCTCAACATCCTTGAACATGCCAGTAGCAATGCCTTCTTCCACTTTTTGTGTGGACTTTCCGCCACTGATTTTCATAGCTGTCAACACATCGATGGTCTGCTGAATGTAGCAACTTGCATCTACCAAAGATGTTTCTCTGCGTTGCAGTTTTAGCGACAGGCTTTTAAGTTCTCGAAGAACATCCTTCATTGTTGCCAAATCAGCCAGAAATCCAGTGCTCGTGAGGAGTTTGTGCAGTCCCCTGAATTTCTGTCTCTCTGTGTCACTGCGAGATGATGTGTCGTCTGTTGCTGTTTTGAATTGGCGTGCCAGTGCGTGATAATCTTTCCAGACAGCTTTCACAGTCTGAAAACTACTAGCCACCCAACGAATAGTGAAAATGTGGCCTATTTTCAATATTTGCACGTTTAATTCTGCTGCTGCTTCTTGGAGCAAACGGGCATTTTTTGATGACTGGTGATAGAGAGCATACAGTTTTGCAACAAAAAACTCAAATTGATTACACCCAGCTACTTCTTTAAGGCAATCCTTGACAGCCAATTCTAGTCGGTGGGCTAGACAGTGAATGGACTGCACTTTGGGGAAATCCTGTTTGAGTTTTGTCACAAGTCCCCCAACTCTGCCTGTGAGTACTGCTGCTCCATCCGTTGCTATTGAGATTAGATTTTTCCCCAAGAACTCGTCATCCAGTGAAGGAAATAGTTATTTGATTCCTTGCAGATTTTGTAAGTTTGCCCTCTTACAAAGAAACGAACTGTCAAGTTCTTCTGGGTTTTGGCCTGTATTCAGTGTTATGCCCAAACGTGAGAGGCTGGAGGGCAACAGAGGACAGAGGACAGAGGACAGAGGACGCTTGGACAACTCTGATTCTTTCTTTTTGTCTTTATTTTCTGCTCAGCAGTTATTTATATGACACTTTTCATCAGATTCTCATCAGGTTGAAAACCTTCAAACACAGAGGACAAACAAATGTTAGTTCACATGCAAACAAAATCACAAACTTTTTGTATGCCTCATTGCATTATTTCTAATAATAATAATAAAAATGCAGTCACCTTCCATTTTCAGGGTATTATAATTCAAATGATAAATTGTGAGTTATTCTACAAAACATCATTAACTTAAATGAATGAATAAGAAAGTCTCTTTCTCTACTTGAAACCAAGCAACCCAGAAAACCTCACTGAACACCATCTGCGCTGTCTAAACATATACACTAACAAAACGGAGCGCACACAAACCACGCTGCGCAAAAGCCGTCGATCGCGCAACAGCACTCTCACACAATAAGGCAACAGATCAAGAACGCAAAACGTAATAAACAGCGGAGAAACATACCAATGGCGTCTCTGGAGCCTCACACACACTGTCGCCAACTTCTCCCTCCATGGCTTTGGGAACAAAAGACCGGCCATCACAATTCCTGCCCCTTTTGTTGCCGTGTTACCGGAAGCGGCATTCATATTTTTTAATAACAGCTCCCTTATTAAGAAAAGTAGCCTACGCTATTCAAAATGAAACGAATACCCCTCCTGGTATTGAACAATACTATAATAATAATAATAATAATCTAAACGAAAAAACATACAAATAATTATTTATCCGTCCGTTTTTATCAGATATTATTATTTTTCTTTCAATATTGACTTTCGTCTCGACATTAACAGTCTATCATTTTAACGGTAGGTTTATTTTAACAGTGAGAGTTAGTGAAAGGGCCTACTTATAGACAGCCGTAACATGGGTTTCTTCCCGGACATGTACAGAGTGCCTAGCGATGGACCACTACGGCCACTTTGTATACAAATTGCCTGATGCCGGCAGGAAGCGGCCGGGGCGCTTATTTTATCTCTTTATGTATTTAAATGATTATGTGTTAATGCCTATGTAAAGCACTTTGAATTCCCTCTGTGTCTGAAATGTGCTTTATTAATAAACTAACTTTAATCTTACAACAAAAGTAGTCGGTATGAAGTGAAGGCAACGCCAATGTATGCATCTGTCTCTGTTTCAGGGTCCAGCAGCAGAGACCAGACTCTCCCAGCTGTCTGTCCTTCAAGAGCGACCGGTCGATGGGTGACTTCATGAACTTTAAAGGACGACCTCCATCTGCTGATCAGAAGTAAGCTGTAACTCATAGTAAGAGTCCGGTTATGATAGAATAAACCCAGTTTGTATAAAGTGTTGTCCGACCCCTCCTCATGTCCAAAGTGTTTAGTTGTGAACGTCCACACTGGGAGGGGCAGTGAAACTACATCTGAAAACTCAGGCTGTCCCTAGCGATGGACCACTACGGCCACTTTGTATACAAATTGCCTGATGCCGGCAGGAAGTGGCCGGGGCGATGCACCAACACGCTTTTGACTGTTGGGGGTGCTACGTGCATGCGGGCCCCGTACACTTCAAGTACCCCGAGTCCACTTCGTGGGACCCCTTATTGGGGGCTAAAGGCCCATTCTGCCCAAAACTCCCACTTCGCCCCAAAATGCCATAACTCAAGGCCGGTTTCGCCCAAAAGTCCCGGAAATGGCTGGGCGCTCCTAAAACACCCAGACCCAGAGGGGTCCAAAGCAGGTGTGCATGGCCCCCAAACGTTGTGGGTGTGATCCAAAGGGCCCAATGTGTCCCTGGACCAAGTTTGTCGGCCATGCAACACTTCTAGAATTTTTTAATTGTCCAATTCACTCCCTTTTCACACCAATAAATCATAGGGTGGCCAAGATAGCACAGTCCAGGTGTCACCTTCCTGTCTCAATGCATTTGTTGAGATACAGTACTCTACACTTCAAATACCCGAGACAATGCAGTTATGTATTTGAAATGTACAGGCTCATATCTCCCATATGCCAAGGGATACATGCACGTGACTTTAGGTAAGTCACCGGTGAGGCACCCTCTCTCAATGCACCGACTTTCATCCAAATCAGGGTAACTTCAATTTTGAGCTACTGTCTTCTGTCTCCTTGCAGAGTAACACCAAAGCATAATGTTTCCACCTCCATGCTTGACGTGGGGATGGTGTTCTAGGGGTTATAGTCAGCATCTCTTCCTCCATACACGGCGTCTCGAGTTGATGCCAAAGATGGCGATTCTGGTCTCATCTGACCACATCACCTTCTCCCAAGCCTTCTCTGAATCATTCAGATGTTCATTGTCAAACTTCAGACGGCCATTCATGTTCCTTCTTGAGCAGGAGACCTTTAGGCGCTGCAGGATTTGATCCATTATGGTGCGGTGTGTTACCAATAGTTTTCTTGGTGACTGTGGACCCAGCTGCCTTGAGATCATTAACAAGTTTCTCCCGTGTAGTTCTTTGCTGATACCTCATCTTTCTCATGATCATCAATACCCCGCGGGGCCAGATCTTGTGTGGAGCCCCTGACCGAGGGCCATTGATGCCCATTTTGTGTTGCTTCTATTTCTGAATAATGGCACCAACAGTTGTCTCCTTCTCACCAAGCTGCTTTCTGATGGTCTTGTAGCCAATCCCAGCCTTGTGCAGGTCTACAATATCACCCTGAGGTCCTTAGACAGCTCTTTAGTCTTGCCCATGGTGGAGAGGTTGGAATCTGATTGATTGATCTGTGGACAGGTGTCTTTTATACAGGTAACTAGTGGATATTATGAGTAACGAAACTGTGTCTCAGGGCTTCTTAACATTTAACAACCTATTAATGTGTCATACCCACTTAACGGGAAGAAACTCAGCTACAGATGGAGCATCTTATTTTGGACCCCAGCATACAGCTTCCTGCCGACTGCCAGCCAGTTGCCAGCCAGTTGCCTGCCAAAGACCAGTATTCAGGAATGTTAGGCCCTCCCACTATTCTCCAATTTCAGGGTTTAACCAGGAGATGGCGCTATATATTAAATAACTAAGACTTAGTTTTTCACAATAGAAAATGCAGATATTATATAAAAAACTAAAGTTAAAATCTTGTTTTTAATGCCCCAAGAGCAATAACATCTTGTCACAAGCTTTTTGGAAGAAAAAGACTGACTCAAGAGACCTGTAGTTGACTAATTACAGGCCTCAATAAAGTTCTGCCATTGGTTGTGAAAAACAACGGTGGACATAGTGGAAAGTGAAATTGACATTGTCGAATTTAATAAAAATACAAAATAATGTATCTGTGTACGTGTTTTACTATGTGATCTGCACTTATCAAACATCTAATTAAGGCGAGACATCCCAGGTGAATAGGGTATTTTTAACTTAAAGATATCAGCTAAATATTTCTCCAGTTAATTACTTACAATAAGGCAATTGTTTTTTGTATTACAAGTTTTCTGAAATAGCATGTTTAAATATCCAAATGAACCATTAGCTCATGAAATATGCGCATATTTTAACACATTTCAGGAACCGAAATCTGAACTTTGGATAAAGCCAGGATCAAAATTATTGTTTCATTTTGTAGTCATATTAGTATCTAAGGCTTTTACAGAAGGGATTTTGGATATCTCTTTGTATCACTCCATAAATCAGAAAATACTGTCAACAGCCCTAAAATATCAATTTTCACCATGTTTTTAGGTATAAAATGTTATATAATTCAGGCTATGAATTATATATGACCAAACCCTTCTGTAAAAGCCTTCATAATATTGATAGGAATATAACTGGAAGGTTTGGTGTATGTAACTGCTGAGTGATTCTACAATTTAGGGTACATTCCATGTCCATTGATGTCCATTGATGATAATTATAATTATTCTAACTATTTTCTTCAAAAATATCATATTTTGCCTATTATTGGAAAGCATGTTATAATATCACACAAACATTATGTGCATCCTATGCTTTATTTAGCTTGAAATGTGTCATGATGTTCTTAAATTGTCAGTTTTTGCTATGTCCGTTTTTCAGTTGAGGGTGTCTTGGATTCAAAATAATGAATAAAAACCATTAAAGTAAATTTAAAAAATGATTCATTTATTTCAAAAGTCTAAATACTAAAGAATAATAACATATTTTTAATTGATTTCCCCCTTTAAATAATTTAAATATCTTAATATATGAATGTCCGCAAAAGTTCTGTCAACTATGTTACTAACAGAACTTCCCCCTTTAACTCAAAAATGGTTTGTCCCAATACCATGTCACCAGCATCACATGATGCCATGTTCCTCTTTGGCAGACATTTTGAACACACTGTGGTGATTGTCCTCTACATTTTTACAATATTTTATGTATAATAGCACATGGTCAATTAATATACTCATTGACAATCAACAATGTTACGTACATTGTTATGGTTTACAATTGTTTAATGATTTTAATTCAATTATATGTGCAAATGTGATGTTAACCTGTTCAAGAAAATGACATGTGGTCATCCAGGCAAGGCCTACCATTGAAATGATGGGTCAAAATAGGGAAATTGTCAACTAGGTTACCTGTCAACTGAGTTACCCAGTACTGTAATAACTGTAGTAACTTAGTTGACAGGTAACCTAGTTGACAATTTGTACGACATGTAGACGTCATTACACATCATTATCAATGGAATTTTGCACTTCTGCCTTGAAATTAACATAGTGCTGATGGTTAATAATGTGTCCAGTCAACTATGTTATTTGCGTCAAATGTTTGACTTTCATTGTCAACTATGTTGCACCTCATTTTTTCAAATTTAAAATATCTAAAATAGTGCTTCTGATATCCTTTATAGTATAATGTATATCTACACAGGTTGGAGTTTTACATGACATCTCTTAAAACTATCAAAATGACCTGTATGGTAGTTTTATAATACAAAATATCCCTAAACTTAATGACAGTGCTGAACATATCACATGAAAAAACAAAACTTTAATACAATTATTTTTTAAACTTTAAAAAATCTTTGGATATATGGTAGAATAGACTCAAGAGCCTTTCAAATTTGATTTTACTTGAAGTGCAGGACTTAATCAAATGATTGTAATGACATCAAGTTTGTCCGTAACATAGTTGACAAACTGAGTAGTGAAAACATCCTTTCCCTTAAAATAAAAAAATATATAAAAATGTTTAAGCTTTGCAACTAGTGGATATGTTACACTGAGGAATATACTAACTTGAACCACTGATTGTTCTATCTATACATTTTATTTGGCATTAGTAAATAATTATGCACATTTACAGATATTTTACATGATATGAGTGATAACACGTGTTATAAGGGCTATTTCGCACAATAGGTGTGCCTTGAGATTTTTACTTGTCCTTTGGTGTGCCTTGGGCACAAAAAGTTTGGGAACCACTGCTGTAGAGAAATGTAAACGTTCACCATCCCCCACCCGCCTACTGTATGTTGCTTTTTGACATGTAAATGGGTAACTACCCCCCTCTGAGTGAATACCTGTTGTACCTGTCCGGGGCTAAGCCCATAGGACGATGCTCTGATGTCATCACCCTCGCACATTGGTCATATGTTTACAAAAAACGATGTTAACACTTTCTCGTTCTTAATATATGCTATATTTAGGGTCGATATGTGTTGAATTTACTTTAAAATAGCAGATCACTGTGATTCACTTCTCCGCGGCTCCTCCGTGCAGAGAGGCCCCCCCCCCGTTGACAATTCACGAGCGTCTAACTCTCTCCCCCCTGTGAAGAGATATCACAGGGGGGGGTTGGGACACACACATTCCGATGGCCAATTCGTTTTAAACAAAGAGTGGGGTGGGGGCTGGTGAACGGTATGGTCAATGTTTGTAAACACTGTGACATTTTGACTTTATTTGATCATTTCAGTTAAAAACTAACGTTCATATTTCATATTACTGTTTTGCCTGGCTGGACCTGTAATTTACAGGAAAGGAGTGCACGCTACTAAAGAGACACGCTACCATGGAAACCAAACAATGGTGTTGCTGTATTGAAGTCCGAGTGGAAACAGTCATATTTGGAGCGTTATGTTAGAATGAAACAGCGAGGTCGTGACTCACAAAAAAAAAGTGTTACTTCACTAACTGTAAGCTTGTCACTCAGAGTAACCTACAGTTAACTTAACTGTTGGAAAAGAAAGATCAGAGTTAGGAGTGTGAACACACAGCTGAGAGCTGCCGTTTCATTCTGACTGTTTAAAAAACGGTAACAACGGACTATTTTTCTTAGCGGATGCATGTAAATTTAAATCAATACATAGAACTATGTTTTAAATCAATAAAAATATTTTCTAAATCCATAAAAGCATTTTAATTAATATTGGGAGTCATGTCGTTACTTTGTTGAGAATGTGGCCATGTAATAAGCGGGATAATTTGCAGCGACTTGGTCATTATGGGGAAAAATAACACCCAGGGATCAAGATCCCTCCGCGACGCGGAGGGATCAGTAATTTTTAGTGAATTACTGAGTTTAGGCACGTTAATAACATTTTAATGAAGTTGAATACAGTATATTCATATTTGTCAGTGATTTCATGTCAATTCGGCGAACATAAACGATTAAATTAGGATTAAAAATCGAGAGCCGGCTGCTGTTCGTTACGGTAACCCAACTAGGACACTTGACACAGTGGCTTTTGGCAAAGCACACAAAGAAAACAAAAAAAACCGAGAGAGATGAGTTATTGTTATTACAACGTGACTTCACTATTATTTAACAACTATTTTTATTGGGTTCTTTTATTTGGGGTTAAGTACATTGTCAGAATAAGTGAGAAATGGATTTAACTTCTGTTAGACAGCTATCATACTGAATAAATATTTATGCAAAAATGTATGGCATTAATAATGTATATCTAATTACATTAACTGTGAATGTCTTTCATTTTATTTAAAATGAAATAAAATTACATAAAACATTTTCCATAAAAAAGTTGATTCAAGAACAAATCAGTACTTTTCTTATATGACTATTATTGCTAAATTTGAAAGGTCTTTACCAGCTTTGGAATTATATATATATATATATATATAGCACCTTCTGCCATCCCATCTCTACTGACATATGGATCTTAACAAAGATCCGCTATACATTAGTACCAGATATACTGTACACGGACATTTTAGTGAACCAGACCAGCTGTTTCCGCCGGGTCTTCGCTTCCCGGGCATCACGTTGTTTACAAGTGTGTTCAGATGCTAAATGACAAGTGCAAGTGACAATTGTTGTCGTCTTCTCTGTGAACGTTTTTTTCTCCGTTATTTTGCCATTTTCAGATTTAAATTTCGAGCGGAAAGCTAACCAGGAAGTAATAATTACTTAAGCGGAGAACGGAGAAAGTAAACGTTACAGCAGGCATAACAACAGCCGGTGTTTATTTTATTATAATATATATCATTTGTTTTAAAGCTCAATATATAGTTCTATCCGTGACATATGGATCTTAACAAAGATCCGCTATACATTAGTACCAGATGTTTCCGCCGGGTCTTCGCTTCCCGGGCATCACGTTGTTTACAAGTGTGTTCAGATGCTAAATAAAAGTTTAGCTTGTACTTTTGATACCCCGCCTCTCGGCACCACAACATCCAGTTTACTGTATTTCACATGAGCGATGTCGAACATTGAAAAGTCCTTATAAAATCTCTGTTATTAGATCAGTACTTTTCTTATATGACTATTATTGACTTGAACACTGAGAATGTATTTATTAACTTCAGACATTTGAAATATTTGAAATCAGATGAAAACAAACTGTAACGGACCCTGCCGTGTTATCTATGATTACTATGTCTTACTGTACATTCATAATTTCAGCCGGAGGTAGGTGGTAGGCGTTGCGGAGGAGCAGATTGCGAGTGAGGTGCCTGTTCTAAACGAACTATTCCAGCTGTTATAAAGCATTAAATAAAAAGTAAGCAAGGAATACAGAATGTTTCGTTACGTAACTTTGTTGAGAATGTGGCCATGTACATGTAATACATGGGATCATTTGCAGCGACTTGGTCATTGTGGGGAAAAATAACACCCATCCTGATCGTTTCAATGAAGTTGAATACAGAATATTCATATTTGTCAGTGATTTCATGTCAATTCGGCGAACATAAACATCAATGATGATGATTAAATTAGGATTAAAAATCGGGAGAGCCGGCTCGTTCGTTTTTTCCGATTAAACAACATCTATTATTTAGAAGTTGATTTCACATGACTCCAGTGTGGAACCCCACTGCACCCCCTGGTGGATCAATGATCCATTGCAGCTGGCTTCACAATAATTAAATGTATTTATCATGGGGGCGGTATCAAGTCTGACTGGGGGCCGGCCGGCCATCACGGAACGTGCATGAACCGATCACGACCCTCGCACTTTAAACTGTCCAAAATAAGACGCTTCATCTGTAACTGACGATACGAACAATTTTTCCGAAACTAAACACAAGTCTCACAAGAAGCGTCTAAATGGGAATGGACGCTCACATTGCCTTTAAATGCCGCCGACATGGACCGATGCGGTGCTTCCCTGAGCGTCAAATACCGCCGCCGATGGGAATACATTGCAATCAGTTGAAAGCTCTTTGCGTCCGTTTATGAAGCTGAAGGAGCCTCGGCGCGTCCCAACTGCACGCCACGGGACCCTGACCAAGCGTCGCTCCTGGACGTTCAGGGAGTGAGAGTGTGTTGGATGTGAAGTGCTTTGTAACTTTGACCCGCTTGACTGAATTCACAAAAAACAATGAAGAAAGAGTTATCTCTGGGCTGCTTCGCTGCCAGCTGCTCCCCGTGGCGTATAGCCTCTACTTCAACATCAATGCATACGATATATGCTGTATTGAACCAATAAACTAACACAAACTAACTGTATCACTATAACATGATGATGATGGTGATGAAGAATGCATCTAACGTTCCGCTGTTCATTATAATACAAAAACAGAGCATTAAACAAACCATCATGCTCTTACTTTGAAATCATGCGGAAATGTCGTCATCAGCAGGCCATCACGTGGTTTCCGAAAATAAACGAGTGACACGAGTAGATTTTAGCCGAGACCGGCGGAAAGTATGTCTCAAAACTCCGTGTGTGTAAAAAGACGATCCACAAGCAGAGATTTGAGATCCGCAAGCGCATTTTTGGTTGACAAATACAAAATGGATTCACAAATGCCTGATCGAAAGTTGTCAATGTTAAAGAGATATTCACAGATCTTTTTTTTATTTGTAAAAATATTTGCAGATCCGTTTTACATTTGCAAATTTATTTGAGAGTTTGTAAATCTTTTAAATGCATTTGTGGATGGTGTTACATTTACAAATCACATATTTACACACAAATAATTTTTCTGTTAAGACAAATAATGATGAGACATATTTATGCCCATAGTGGGTAAACTTTCAAAATCAGAAAGGGATCAAATTATTACTTCCTCCACTGTATTCCTGTAGTGCAAAGTTCCCGCTGACGCACAGGACCACCAGCCTGTTCCCCTGTCCTCCTTCACCCTGAGTGTGTCTCTGTGTGGACAGACATAATGTGAGCTAATGCTTCATGGTTCCTCCACAGAGGGGACCAGGAGAGCTCGGAGGTTCCCGGTGGTCAGTCTGCCCAGCAGCATCAGACACAGCTGGACTCCATATTTACGGTGAGTACATGTACTACAGATACTTGACCTCTCTTCTGTTCACAGTCATCTCCATGCTGCACTTTTAGAGAGTCAGTCTGTCCGGATCTGATGTTTGGATCCATGGTTTATAGTTTGTGTCGTTCATGTGATGTTCCAGCTGCTGGAGGACCACATCGTCACTTTTGTGAAGAGCGAGCTGAAGAAGATCCAGAAGGCTCTGAGTTCAGATTACCCAGAAGGCTTAGAGAGTCAGAGTGATGATGAGGAGGTGTTGGAGGCTGAGGATGAAGAGCAGAGGAGCAGAAGAGAGGCATTTGTGAACATAACTCTGCACTTCCTGAGGAGCATGAAGCAGGAGGAGCTGGCTGACCGTCTGCACCGCAGTAAGAGGGTTTCTATAAAGATTTAACACTCTGGATAAATGTCTCATCTGCTGATGTCTCTAGAGACCAACATATATCCATATTTTATTCAGAGAACCAGAGTTACAGTGTGACCACATGATCTTTTGTTGTGTGTTCTTTCAGAAACCTTTGCTGGAGTGTGTCAGCGTAAACTTAAATCCACCCTGAAGGAGAGGTTCCAGTGTGTGTTTGAGGGCATTGCTAAAGCAGGAAGCCCAACCCTTCTGAACCAGATCTACACAGAGCTCTACATCACAGAGGGGGGGTCTGCAGAGGTCAATGCTGAACATGAGGTCAGACAGATTGAAACAGCATCCAGGAAACAAGGCAGACCAGAAACAACCATCAAACAAGAAGACCTCTTTAAAGCCTCACCTGGAAGAGATGCACCAATCAGAGCAGTGATGACAAAGGGCGTGGCTGGCATTGGGAAAACAGTCTTAACACAGAAGTTCACTCTGGACTGGGCTGAAGGCAAAGCCAACCAGGACATCCAGTTCATATTTCCATTCACCTTCAGAGAGCTGAATGTGGTGAGAGAGAACAAGTACAGCTTGGTGGAACTTGTTCATCACTTCTTCTCTGAAACCAGAGACGCAGGAATCTGCAGGTTTGATCAGTTCTCGGTTGTGTTCATCTTTGACGGTCTGGATGAGTGTCGACTTCCTCTGGACTTCCACAACACTGAGATCCTGACTGATGTCACATGGTCCACCTCAGTGGATGTGCTGCTGACAAACCTCATCAGGGGGAAGCTGCTTCCCTCTGCTCGCCTCTGGATAACCACACGACCTGCAGCAGCCAATCAGATCCCTCCTGAGTGTGTGGACATGGTGACAGAGGTCCGAGGGTTCACTGACGCACAGAAGGAGGAGTACTTCAGGAAGAGATTCAGAGATCAGAAGCAGGCCGGCACCATCATCTCCCACATCAAGACCTCACGAAGCCTCCACATCATGTGCCACATCCCAGTCTTCTGCTGGATCTCTGCTACCGTTCTGGAGGAGGTGTTGAAAACCGGAGAGGGAGGAGAGCTGCCCAAGACCCTGACTGAGATGTACATCCACTTCCTGGTGGTTCAGTCCAAAGTGAAGAACATCAAGTATGATGGAGGAGCTGAGACAGATCCACACTGGAGTCCAGAGAGCAGGAAGATGATGGAGTCTCTGGGGAAACTGGCTTTTGAGCAGCTGCAGAAAGGCAACCTGATCTTCTATAAGTCCGACCTGACAGAGTGTGGCATCGATATCAGAGCAGCCTCAGTGTACTCAGGAGTGTTCACACAGGTCTTTAGAGAGGAGAGAGGACTGTACCAGGACAAGGTGTTCTGCTTCGTCCATCTGAGCGTTCAGGAGTTTCTGGCTGCTCTTCATGTCCATCTGACCTTCATCAACTCTGGAGTCAACCTGCTGGCAGAAGAATCAACAACCTCCCAGAAGTCTGAAGTCCAACCTGAACTAACACATCTCTACCAGAGTGCTGTGGACCAGGCCTTACAGAGTCCAAACGGACACCTGGACTTGTTCCTTCGCTTCCTCCTGGGTCTTTCACTGGAAACCAATCAGAAACTCCTACGAGGCCTGCTGACACAGACAGGAAGTAGCTCAGAGACCAACCAGGAAACAGTCCAGTACATCAAGAAGAAGATGGATAAGGATCTGTCTGCAGAGAGAAGCATCAACCTGTTCCACTGTCTGAATGAACTGAATGATCGTTCTCTAGTGGAGGAGATCCAAGAGAGCCTGAGATCAGGAAGTCTCTCCACAGATAATCTGTCTCCTGCTCAGTGGTCAGCTCTGGTCTTCATCTTACTGTCATCAGGAAAATATCTGGAAGAGTTTGACCTGCAGAAATACTCTGCTTCAGAGGAGGCTCTTCTGAGGCTGCTGCCAGTGGTCAAAGCCTCCAACAAAGCTCTGTAAGTACAGATCATTTGATTTAGAGAATCAGTTATTAATACACTGCTGTCTCCTGAATAACTGTTGTCCTCATCGTCTCTTCAGGCTGAGTGGCTGTAACCTGTCAGAGAGAAGCTGTGCAGCTCTGTCCTCAGTCCTCAGCTCCCAGTCCTCCAGTCTGAGAGATCTGGACCTGGGTAACAACAACCTGCAGGATTCAGGAGTGGAGCTGCTGTCTGCTGAACTGGAGAGTCCACACTGTGAACTGAAGACTCTCAGGTCAGAGCACAGAACAGATTGACTTAGCCAGCAATACAAGTTAATACCAACATCAGACATGTTGTTGTGGTGTGGGAATACCATCACTCACATCTGTATCTTTGTAATGCAACACGTTCACATGCATGCATCATATTTTGGTTAGCTACATTCAACTGACGTTACTTTAGCCAGAGCCTTAGCTAGCTTTGTTTTAGCAACCAACATAAATAAATGAATCAATGTAAAACCGACAATCAGTGCCTCTGTTCTATATATTTGTATCACACGTCTGCAAAAGGGTTTCGTTTTTATTTAATACAAAAATTAAACATCTTGAAATCTCTCATTTCTGCGTCTACACAGGGCTTTCACACTGCCCTTTAATTAGCTGTTCTGAAAAGACGGTCCCTGGTTAAACCTCTCTTATATTTCTTTGAACAATCAGCTCCAGGTACGTTAACCTGCCTCTCTCAGCTCAGGATTTCTTAATGTCCATTAATTCAGGATTTTCAGTGTAAAAATATTTGAAATGTTACTTTTCACTTGCATATCATACCTTATCCAATGGGATTAAGTGTCAACACAAATGTTGTTTCTCTTTTTGTTCATTATGTTCTCTTCAGGCTGAGTGGCTGTAACCTGTCAGAGAGAAGCTGTGCAGCTCTGTCCTCAGTCCTCAGCTCCCAGTCCTCCAGTCTGAGAGAGCTGGACCTGAGTAACAACAACCTGCAGGATTCAGGAGTGAAGCTGCTGTCTGCTGGACTGGAGAGTCCACACTGTGAACTGAAGACTCTCAGGTCAGAGCAAAGTACAGTTTGACTTCGGCAGCAGTAATAGTCAATACCAACATCAGCAATGCTGTTGTGGTTTGGGATCACCATCATGGATATTATCATTGTAGTGAAACAAGACACAATTCACAAAATGATAATTAGCACAGACTTCTTTAAAGCCTCTACAAAGAGCTTCATTGTTGTTGATTTGGCACAAGTGTTAGACCTACAGCACTCATTTGGGTAGTTTCAGCCGAGCACCTCCTAGTCTGAGGCCGAGGTGGATTGCTCCATCCGTGTTGGCTGGGAGTTTCGGCCCAAGCGAGGAACTTCAATAATCTCAGGGTCTCATTAACGAGTGAGGGTCAAATGAAGCGTTAGATCAGGGGTCTCAAACTCGAGGCCCGGGGGCCAAATCCGGCCCGCGACTTCATTTTATGTGGCCCCGCAAGAGCTTGCAAAGAATATAATACGTTTATTATACGGTTACATGCCACTTTACAGAAGCAGGTTGCCCATAAACTACATGTCCCACAATGCATCTCGTTTTGTGACATGCGCACTGAAGAGACTTGCAATTATTTGCCCTGGACTTCTGCTTTCAGACGTAGTTAATTACTAAGTTATTATCCTATCCGATAATAATCCAATTCAGAGACAATAATGTAATATAATGAATTATTTTATATATATAATATATTTATATAGTTACAACCGGCCCTTTGAGTGCAACCTTTATGCGAATGTGGCCCGCGATGAAATTGAGTTTGACACCCCTACCTTAGTAGTGCGTGAGGCCATATGTACAGACATGTACATGGGACATGAAAACAGTGCATCTCATATTGACAAAAAAAAACCTTACTAACCGAGTTTTCCAAATCACTCTAAAAATAAGCCGTTGTGATACACGTGTAGACAACGTCTGCAGAATCATAAATGATCATTACATTGGGGTCATTAAACCATTATTTCGCTAAGATAAAAAACATTAAAGTTTGGGATTTTAGTGTAATTCACAAATGTTCCACCAGATGGTGCCACACACACCCAGGGGGAACAGAAAACAGATTTACCCAGGAATAAGTGTCTGAATCATGGGTACATTAGTGGTCAAAGTCATGGGAATTTTTTTAAATGAAAGTCATTTAATGAAAACTGGTAGTTCACAATGTGCTATTTCAGCAGAAATAGCAGAATCTGAACATGTGCCAGAACTACAATGCATGTTGTCATGCAGTCTTAAACTGGTGAATCTGTTTAAATGCAGGCAGCAGAGTCACTGCTGTTAGCAGGGTCTCAAAGACCCATAGACCCAGAGACCCAGGGTACAGCACCTCGCTATCTTACCCAGAAAACAGGGCTCTGATCAGGGCTAAAGTAATGTTATAAACTGGTGAATCTGTTTAAATGCAGTCTCTATGTGGCGGCTCACAGACCCCCAAAGGACGGACTAGAGACCTCCAGCATGAGTCCCTAACAGTGGCACTCCTCCATAACCTTGCACACCATGAGTCCCCGGGCCCCCGCAGTTAAGCACTCTCCCACGGACTATACCCAGATATTCACACCCTCCAGAACCTCGTGCCCCTGGTAAGACTAACAAGGGGTAAGCAAATTGTGCCTCCTATGTACAAGGTTAACATTGAAAGTGACGATGATATGTCCCAATGCGTCTCAATGTACATGTTACTCCAGCTGCCTATCAGTTTACTCCACTCAAATGGCGCAAAACTCGCGTTCCATGGACAGACGTGTAATACACTCAAATTACAATAGATGGAGCTCTATACTAATTTATAACATTTGGACATTAACACTCTGGGTGTGTGAGACAAGTGAAACCACACTTAAAACCTCCGGAATTAAAACATTATAATCGAGTTTGAGCACTAATGTACCCATGTTTTGCACACTTATTCCTGGGTAAATACGTTATCTTTTCACTCTGGGTGTGTGTATGTCTGCCTGTGAGTGTGATATCCTGCTTAAAGCAGTGATTCTGCTGTTTTTAGTTTCTTGTACATTTAACAAAATAAATATGATTAATATGTACATTGTTCTGTCTATACTGACACGTTTATGTCCATAACTCCGTATGTTTATGTCGTCCAATGTACACTGTCTAAAAATTACAATAATGAGTGAATTAAAACATTTTGGCCGCTCATAGGCGGCCTGCCATGCGCACCTTGAGTCTCCGGGCCCCCTGACGTAAGCACACTGCCTTGGACAAAACCCGCATGTGCATAACTGCCAGACAAGCGTGCCCCTGGTAACCTAAAACTATGAAAAGTGTCTGAGTGTCAGGAGTCCGCAGTTGGATGCTTAAGGGCGGACGGTAGACCACCACAAAATCCACCCCTGCGTTAGATGGACAAGCAGTTTGTTGCAGAGTCAGCTGAGCTGGAGGCAGAACTCTCTATTTACCAGTCCGTCTACGATCAACCCTTACTCACCGTCATGAGCTTTAGGTAGTCACTGAAAGGATGAGATCACAGAAACAAGCAGTCTCAATGGGCGTCAGATTAAAGCTTCTTCTGTGCAGTGACTGGGCTCAGAGATTGGGTATTTCCAGCCTCAATAGGCCACACTGTGAGCGTCTGAGACGATCTACCTGGTGGTGTTGGAGGTCTGATGTCCAAACTGTAGTAGAGTGTCAGCTGCAGGTCTTCTTGTAGTCATCTCTCTGTGTCTTTGTTCACATTATTCTCTATTCCTTTGTTTGATGATCTGTTCATATCAATAAGACCCTTACCATGGCTGTCCAGTTGACTTGTGAAGCAGTGACTGGAGTTTTAGGTGTAGAGATGACCCAGAGGTGAAGCAGTAATAAGCCCCCCCCCTTCCAGTCCTGGGCCCTCAGATGATCTGACGGCTTGTTTGTGTGTCTGCAGGCTGTCAGGCTGTCTGATCACAGAGGAAGGCTGTGATGCTCTGGCCTCAGCTTTAAAGCACTCCCATCTGAGAGAGCTGGACCTGAGCTACAATCATCCAGGAGACTCAGGGGGGAGGCTGCTGTCTGCTGGACTGGACACACTCAGGTATGGAGAGGCACTCATTCTGATAGAGGAGGTAGAAACTGGCTCCTATGACCTGAAACAACCAGAGCTGATAGACCCTGACTCTTCACACTGTCTGCCGTCAGCTGTTAGCATCAAACACAAATGTTCCACAACTAAGAGGAAACCCCCCCTCAGTGGGTCAATGTTCATCGTGGAACTACCAACAGAAATAGAGTGGGGGGTTTGAATGTTCACACAGATTTGTCTGATTAAGCACAGGAAGTGACATCATGAATAAATAAACTGATTTAAGGAGTTTGACCTTTCCTTCTGGCAGAATCTACACAGCACATGAGCCCCATTGAGGGGCAGAGCTTTACTGTGTGTATTTATTGCACTTGACGCACACACACGCATGGCGTCATTTCCACTGGGGACAGGGGGGACATGTCCCCCCCACTTTTCGAAAGAGGAGGTGAGGACCCCGCTAGAGGAGGTGAGGACCCCCCTAGAGGAGGTGAGGACCCCCCTAGAGGAGGTGAGGACCCCCCTAGAGGAGGTTAGGTCCCACAGACCCAAACAGACACAAATATTAGATACTATATTAACATATTTGACAGTGATGTAATTGTAATAGAGGTTTCAAAATGCTAGTGAAATCAGGACATACTGATACTGGTTAGTGAAACACATGAATGAATGCTCTGGTGTTCTGACTCACAGCAGTTACAGGGTCACGCACATTTGACACTCAATCCATACAAATGGACCTATCTGCGTCTTTGCATTGACTTTACATGTAACGGCGATGCGCCCGGTGTGAACGTACCTTAACTGACCAGTGAGACATGTCATGTTTCCATGCTGACCCCCCCCCCTCTGCTTTCAGCCTGGAGCCTGCTGCAGTCCGGTTCTTGAGGCCAGGTCTCAGGAAGTGTAAGTGTGTTTTTAATCATGAACATCTTCACACTGGGACATCACAGGGACTTTAGTAACCTTTAGTACCTGCTGTGTCTCTCATCAGATTCCTGTGGACTCACACTGGACTCAAACACAGCACACAGAAAACTCAAACTGTCTGACAACAACAGGAAGGTGACACGTGTGAGAGAGGATCAGAACTATCCTGATCATCCAGAGAGGTTTGACTCCTGTCCTCAGCTGATGTGCAGAGAAGCTCTGACTGGTCGCTGTTACTGGGAGGTCGAGTGGAGAGGAGGGGTTCATATATCAGTGACTTACAGAGGAATCAGGAGAGGAGGCGGAGAGGAATGTTGGTTTGGATGGAATGATCAGTCCTGGAGTCTGGAGTCTGATGGAGGTTACTCTGTCAGGCACAATAACAGAGGAACACACATCTCCTCCTCCTCCTCCTCCTCCTCCTCCTCCTCCTCTGGTAGAGTAGCAGTGTATCTGGATCATCCTGCTGGCTCTCTCTCCTTCTACAGAGTCTCCTCTGACACACTGACCCACCTCCACACCTTCAGAGCCACATTCACTGAACCTCTCTGTGCTGGGTTTACGTTGTATAGTGACTCTGGTCGCTCTGGTTCTTCAGTGTCTCTGTGTTCTCTGCAGGAGTGAGACCCCCCCCCCCCCCCCACACACATGACTGACCGTCTGACGTCAAATCAATCACACGTGGTACCACCAGTACTCAGGTCTGTTACTGCGGTAAAAGTAGTAATACTACCACAGTGTATAAATACTCTGTAGAAGTACTGGGTTCCTGGGATATACAGTATTATATCACTGGATTATAATTAGTGATGCATTCATGTGTTCTTCATTTGAACTGTGCCGCCGGTAAAGGTGGAGCTAACTTTAATGTATTTTATACTCAAAGGTATTTTATATATCCTTATTAGTACATCATAATTCATTATCTTATATTTGCTATTACAAATATGAACAGGCCAAGAAACTGGATAATTATTTGTGGAATAGAAGTATTAAATTGCAGGAAATGGAAGTACTCAAGTGAAGTCCAAGTACCTCCAAATGGTACTTGTACAGTACTTGAGTGAATGGTCTTAGTCACTGTCCACCTCTGGGTAGATGTTGGTGGTAAAGGTAGACATGAACCCAGATTCAAACTGACCTGAGGCAGATTACAGAGGGAGTGGAAACTCAAAGAAACAACTGAAACTAAGAGAGAGAAACTTTATGATTTCCACCTCCAGAGTTCTGACCAATCAGACGGACTCTTCCTGAGAGCGTTTCCTGACGCTCCTTCGCCCCTCAGCAGAGACGTTATCTGTGCTCTTTGAAACCAGATCACTTAGAAAACAAAGCTTCAGATTCAGAGCCACTCTGGTTTGTGTCTTTGTCTCCAAATGTCTTGCTGTTTCTCCACATTTATGAATGTTCACGCTTTGCTTGGTTCAGCTTGGTTCTCCTTTTGTAAGAGCACTGAGAGAAATACAGACGTCCTTTATGTTCACATAGTTTGTTAATGAAGCTGATTCTGAATGATCATAATGGACATTAGTACTGATCGCTGATGAAATAACAAGAGCCACTGCCATGCTGTCATAATCCCTCTGAGCACTAGAGGGCAGCAGTCACTTCAATATAACCCTTCTTAATATTCACCAATCAGTGCTGGCTGTGATCACTGGGAAAGTGACATCATGTCTCCTTTCATCTGGAGTCAGGATGTACCGGAGGATTCTCTCTGCAGACCACATTGGTGTATTGTAATCTTTAACATCTACAGTAAACATATTCAAAGTGAGTTCTGGAGTCTGTCTCATTTTCTGACCTGTTTAATGAATGTGTCAGGTATGAATGTGAAACCATTGATCCCAGTTGAAGATGTATGAATGAGATCATGTTGGCGAGCCAGGAGAGGATTGTTCTCTGAACAGAACCCCGACAGAACAATGTGTAACAATCAGCTTTATTTTAAACCCAGTTACCACTGAAATGATTCAGGAGCCATTGTGGTTCTTAAACCAGGCACAGAGAGTGTGATGAAAGTGTGTCCTCTAAATAATAAATAACAATAAAAAGCTAGACAAAATCTGAAGCTGGCATCTCAAAGACATTTTATTAGACAAAAAAAACACCTCCAAGAAAACATTTCTGTTTCTACGGTGGCCGACAGATCCAAACGCCTCAAAACACTTCCACTATGAGAAATGTGCTGCAGCTTCAGAAACGATGACATAAAAACACAAAAGTGCCAAAATTCTGAGATTTTCAAAATAACCGTTTTTGATTTTCTGAAAGTGCGAATTTGGAAATTATCGGAAAAAGTGAGAATTTTGAGATTTTCTAAAAAGTGAGAATTTTCTGATTATGTATTTATTTAAACATCTGAGTGAGCCCCTTTCCACTGACACTGTTTATTAATCTAATTCAATTGAATGCAATGCACACCTTCTAAAGTAGTTTGTGTCTCATTATTATTGAATTGGTATCAGATGCAAAAGAAAAAACACAATATCGTCCATTTTAAAACACATGTCAGTCCACCACTATTTATTTCTTCATCTGATTTCTCCATAAGAACATTGAATGAAAACCCATGAATTGTAATAAATACAGGTCTAACTATCTAAGAGACAGATAACCATGGCTCTATGCTCCACAGTGTGGAGTCACTAATATAATAAACCCTCAGGAAGAATGTGATCAAGTGTTTCCACAGAGTGAGTGTAGCATGGTGTGTGCAGCATGTCTTCATGGAGAGAACGTAGCGATGACCCTCTGGATCCAGCCCACGTAGTTCCTCACTTTGGTGTAGACCCCGGGGAAGTAGGGGTTAGCGCAGCTGATTCCCCAGGACACGATGCCCTCCAGCTGCCCGTCACAGATCAGAGGCCCCCCGGAGTCCCCCTGAGGGCAAAGAGAGACACCTTCATGCTGCTGTGTACTTCCACTGCATTTCAGAGGTACATGGTGTACTTCTACTGCACTACAGTTCAGAGGTACATGGTGTACTTCTACTCCACTACAGTTCAGAGGTACATGGTGTACTTCTACTGCACTTCAGAGAGTACATGGTGTACTTCTACTCCTCTACAGTTCAGAGGTACATGGTGTACTTCTACTCCACTACAGTTCAGAGGTACATGGTGTACTTATACTCCACTACAGTTCAGAGGTACATGGTGTACTTCTACTCCTCTACAGTTCAGAGGTACATGGTGTACTTCTACTCCACTACAGTTCAGAGGTACATGGTGTACTTTTCCTCCACTACAGTTCAGAGGTACATGGTGTACTTCTACTCCACTACAGTTCAGAGGTACATGGTGTACTTCTACTCCACTACAGTTCAGAGGTACATGGTGTACTTCTACTCCACTACAGTTCAGAGGTACATGGTGTACTTATACTCCACTACAGTTCAGAGGTACATGGTGTACTTCTACTCCTCTACAGTTCAGAGGTACATGGTGTACTTCTACTCCACTACAGTTCAGAGGTACATGGTGTACTTTTCCTCCACTACAGTTCAGAGGTACATGGTGTACTTCTACTCCACTACAGTTCAGAGGTACATGGTGTACTTCTACTCCACTACAGTTCAGAGGTACATGGTGTACTTCTACTCCACTACAGTTCAGAGGTACATGGTGTACTTATACTCCACTACAGTTCAGAGGTACATGGTGTACTTCTACTCCACTACAGTTCAGAGGTACATGGTGTACTTTTCCTCCACTACAGTTCAAAGGTACATGGTGTACTTCTACTCCACTACAGTTCAGAGGTACATGGTGTACTTCTACTCCACTACAGTTCAGAGGTACATGGTGTACTTCTACTCCACTACAGTTCAGAGGTACATGGTGTACTTCTACTCCACTACAGTTCAGAGGTACATGGTGTACTTCTACTCCACTACATGTATTTAATACCTTTAGTTACTTCACAGATGTGGATGAATGATGTGAAATATAATCAAGTGTTAAATCAGACTTTAGTTCCACCTGGAGTAAATCCACAAGCTACCCTGCAGTATACAAAGTCATTCAAACTAGCTGCACCTTTACCAGCTTTGAGAACACTTTCATGATCAATCATTATAAAACATATCATATATATTATTCTGAAATGGACCAATCTGCACAATGAATACTTTTACTGTCTTTCACTATATTTTGATGAGAATACTTTTCTACTTTTACTTGAGGAACATTTTGAATGCAGGACTTTTACTGTAACAGAGTATTCCTACTCAGGTACAATATCTGAGTACTTCTACTTTTACTCAAGTACAAGATCTGAGTACTTCTACTTTTACTCAAGTACAAGATCTGAGTACTTCTACTTTTACTCAAGTACAAGATCTGAGTACTTCTACTTTTACTCAAGAACACGATCTGAGTACTTCTACTTTTACTCAAGATCTGAGTACTTCTACTTTTACTCAAGATCTAAGTACTTCTACTTTAACACAAGTACAAGACCTGAGTACTTCTACTTTTACTAAAGTACAAGATCTGAGTACTTCTACTTTTACTCAAGTACAAGATCTGAGTACTTCTACTTTTACTCAAGTACAAGATCTGAGTACTTCTACTTTTACTCAAGTACAAGATCTGAGTACTTCTACTTTTACTCAAGTACAAGATCTGAGTACTTCTACTTTTACTCAAGTACAAGATCTGAGTACTTCTACTTTTACTCAAGTACAAGATCAGAGTACATCTACTTTTACTCAAGAACACGATCTGAGTACTTCTACTTTTACTCAAGATCTGAGTACTTCTACTTTTACTAAAGAACTAGATCTGAGTACTTCTACTTTTACTAAAGAACAAGATCTGAGTACTTCTACTTTTACTAAAGAACTAGATCTGAGTACTTCTCCCTACTGTTATCTGGCTGCTATCACACTTTTATATTCTATACTTATGCTAAACAATACTGTAACTGTACTTGTTGTCCACCTGGATGTGTACTTTTGTAAATTGTAATTTGTGTAATGTTTATCTTTGATATTTAATGCATGCCTCTTCACTTTGGCTGACAGAGTAAACTGACTCTGGATCAGTCTGTTGCTCTGGCTCAGCGCCAGGACGAGGTCTTTCCTGGTCTTCTCTAAAGAAGAGGGACCAATGAAAACGTTGTCATGTTGCCGTTGTTCAGCATGGAAACATTCATTAGCTAACAATGACATTATTGTTCTATTAATATAAAGGGAGGTCAGGTACTCTTTAAAACAGCTGCTAGTTATGGGTACTTTTTACCTAAAGGTCACCTATCATGCTATTTGTAGGCAATAGCATAGGTCTCAGATATATACAAATATATAAAAAACATGTCTATGAAGTGTTTTGCTACCAACAAAAAATACCAAACAGATCATTCTAGCCATGCCTCATATCCCTCTATTTCACTTCCTGTTTCTAAAGTGCTGATTTGGGGTATAAAGCTTTAAAAAATAAAAAAGGAGGGGTCTGAGCTCATGCGGGACCTGGCAGCTACTGTCTAAACTAAATACTGCCGTGATGAAACGCCATATCATGGATTATCAAGGATTCTCTCTGAAACAGTATGGAGCTCAAAGGCTTTCTCTCTTGCCGGTTATACCACAAGGTGAGTTCCTTTTTATTTCCTGCTTCTTCACACACATGCTCTCCAGTACAGGTTAGCTCTGAGTGTTAGCCATGCTAATGTAAACACCGACCATATTACGTCCAAAACAGTCGGGCATTGTTTCTGATAGCAACTTTCTGATAGGGCCGTGAGTGTAAAGCTAGCCTACATTTCAGATATTACGTCATATCGGACGCACATCTGGATCAGCTCCGTTGTTCCCCCGTTTTTAGAGATTTGGGTTCGGAGGAAAAGAGAGAGGGTTTTATTTTCTGACGCTGCGTGAGTTCCCTGACACACCGGGGACACACCGGGGACGCACCGGGGACGCACCGGGGACGCACCGGGGACGCACCGGAGACACACCGGGGACACACCGGGGACACACCGGGGACGCACCGGGGACACGTGTATTACATGTCATTTGTCATTTATGTATAAAATACATCAAAAAGTGCATTTTGCATGATAGGTCCCCTTTAAGTACAAATCAAAGCACATACTTCTTTACTTTTACTTGACTAAAGAAGTTTAGTCCGTACTTCTACTTTTACCAGAGTATTTTTAAACACGAGTATCTGTACTTCTACTTGAGTAAAGGATGTACTTTTGACATCTCTGCGTCAGGGTCTTGATCCCCATGTCGGGTTCTCTTTTCCTTAACAAAGCCCCGTGATAAACGGTGCTTCATAGAAACAGAACAGTACCTGGCAGGAGTCCTTCCCGCTGCGGATAACAGGAGCCAGAGAGTTAGTGCACGTGACAGGAGCCAGAGAGCAGTGCACGTGACAGGAGCCAGAGAGTATGGCAAAGAGAAAGGGCCATGCATGTGACGGGTCAAAGGTTAGTGCACGGATAAAGATGAGACGTGCACGTGACAGGAGCCAGAGAGTAAGAGAGGAGCCGTGCATGTGACGGGCCAGAAAGTGCACAAGGGTGAGAGAGGCAGTGCACGTGACAGAAGCCAGAGAATTGGTGCACAGAGAGAGGGGAGCCGTGCATGTGACAGTAAGTTCCTTAAATCAGGTAATAGATTTTAGTAAGAAGCTCTTCGTGCACAGTGCGATATGATTAAACATTTGATCATTTATTTGTATTGTAGGCAAAGAGCTGGACTTTAGCGCCGCTCACCTTGAGGAGCATGATGTCGTTGTCGAACGTCCGGTAGTTAAATCCGTGGAGATGAATCTGTGAGACGTTAAAAACCTGCTCAAACCCTTCCACTTTGTTCAGGTTGTGTTCGCTCAGGACGACCTGGATCAGCCCGCTCCTGCACACACAGCAACTCACCTGATATTAACATATCCGGATCACTCTGATTCTACTTATCTTCCACAGCATGTCTTCTGTCAGACGAGGAGAAAGAAAGCCTCTAAATGCTCATCCAGGAGTTTATTCCACTGACTGAAGTGTCTGTAGATTTATCCTAAACTCACCAACAGTTAGCATCACGTAACGCCTCATTAGCATATTTAAACACAACCTGTCAGAAAACTTGTAATATAAAAGATAACTGTCTTAATGTCAGTAATGAAGTGGTGAAGTTTCATGGTGATATCTGTCAGTTGAATATTTGACCCCATGCACCTGCAGGTTAAAGGTATCCTATTATAGATATATATATATATATATATAAATATATAAAAAACATGTCTCTGAAGTGTTTTGCTCAAAATACCAAACAGATTCTGGGTCAGTAGCTTTAGAGAGAGAGTAGATCTCATCAGGAGAACTCTCCCAGCAGAAACTCCGCTAAATGCTGCCGTGACTAAACTCCATATCATGTTCCAAACCACATGAAGGATTCTCTCTGAAACAGTATGGAGCTCAAACTCTTTCTCTCTCTCAGGTTTACCACAAGGTGACTTCCTTTTGATTTCCTGCTTCTTCACACATGCTCTCTCCAGTACAGGTTAGCTCTGAGTGTTAGCATGCTAATGTAAACACAGACCATATTACTTCCAGAACACGTCTCATTGTTTCTGACAGCAACGTTTCTGATTGGCCCGTGGGTGTAAAGCCCGCCCACATTTTAGTAATGTGGTCATGACGCAGCAAATCTGGATCAGCTCCGTTGTTCCCCCGTTTTTAGAGATGTGGGTACGGAGGAAAAGAGAGAGGGGTTTATTTCCTGACACTTTGAGAGTCTCCTGACACACCGGGGACACACCGGGGACACACCGGGGACCCACCGGGGACACATGGTGATGTAGAGAAGACATCACTTTGTGAGTCTCCTGACACACCGGGGACACATAGTTATGTATAAAAGACATACAAAAGTGCATTCTGCATGATAGGAGACCTTTAAAACTGTGAGTGTGTGCAGTACTCACGGCCTCCAGCAGTGGGCGGCCGACACCACCCACTGGGGGTGAACCAACGTCCCCCCGCAGTAATGCCTCCCTTTATACTGCAGGGAGGCCTGGTATTTGACAGAGTACGGCACCACCTCCTGCCCCCCGATGATCCTCGCTGGTTTGCCCTCTGCAGGCGGGACTGTTTGGGAGAAAGGGCGGGGTAATGCAGGTCAACAGGAACAGCAACACACCAATTCATAGGGGACATATTTAAAAGTGCTCCGAAAGGAATACAGACTCCTGGGATCTTCTTCTAAACACCTGTAATGTGCAATGTATACACGTATTTTGGCTAATCTACTGTATTTTCTTACTCTAAATTTGAATTTCAACATGTACATTTTATTTTTATTTAGATGTTTACATTTTGGAATTTTTATTTCTAGTCTTTTCATTTTTAATGTACAATGACTTGTCTTTTTGTGCTGCTGCAACGCAAACATTTCCCATATTGGGATCAATAAAGTCCTTCTTATCTTATCTTATCTTAAAACATCATTTTTATAGCATCTCAAACCTTAAAATGTTCACTCAGCTATTCACTACTCACTTTATCTGTGATCCCTAACGTGTGCTTTTCTCTATATTTAACATGCTATTTCATTCTTGCTTGCCTTCATACCTGCTTTGTCCCTTTTTCTAAAACACTGTAAATGTCCCGCTGTGGGATTCATAAAGAAATTCTAATTCTGATATAAATTAGGAGGAACGTTTTATTTTAATTGGGGGTTTGATTTATAAGTAAAGTCCAAATATAAAACAAATCATTTGGATTTAAAACTTTAATTAATCTGATAACTCAAATGTTAAAGGTAGGGTAGGTAAGTTTGAGAAACCGGCTCGAGTGCGCTAGAATTTGAAAATACACAACCGGAGACAATCTGCCACTTCCTTCCAGAGCCCCTCCTCCAACACACACGAACGCGCACATGACCAATGAGGGCACGAGATAAGTTTGTGCACAGATGGAAGGCTGTTGTTTATTGTGCATTCTGTAGACTCATGGATGTATAATAAGAACTGGATACAGCGTGGGAGGCGGGGCCTCATTCATTCCTATGAGAGTTGCTCATTCGCGCATTATGATAAAATGGCCCAACTTTTGAGAGAGCGAAACGTCACAGCTTACCCAGCATGCCTGAGAAGTACCCGTATGTGCGCTCATAGCGCATGCGCAACTTTAACCATGCCCCCCAAAATGCTCGTTCACATTAAGCACGTCAATTTGCGTACACGTAACAGCACCGCACGTTCATGACAGCATGGTAATGTTTGTTATGATAGATTTGATATTAACGAGGCAGGAGTTAGCAGCTAGCGGTTAGCTAGTAATTATGCTAATTTACACATCAATCGTTATGTACTTTTATATTACGCTGTAACAGGATCTAGTGATATCCAAGCAACAGAGCTTCATTTAGCATGAAAGAATTATTGCACTGTATATATATATATATATATATATATATATATATATATATATATATATATATATATACACAGTGCAATAAGCTTCTTAGTGCAATAAGAAGCTACAGGGACGTTAATCTACGTCGGTAATATTAACTTTATTTAATACAACATTTACGGTACAAGATTTAATCATACAGCCCATGTAGTATAATATTTTACAAATGATGAATTACAGCAAACATGTGCAATATATCCATTATTACAGCTCCGTGGGCTGGCAGTAAGGCGATATGGGTCCGTTCTTATTGTACATCCATGGGTAAAGATAAACGCATGTAGTGCTGAACACGTAACATGAACGTGCCGGGCGGCGCGGTCCCGTGGGTTAGATGCGCGTTCATAATGCAGAGGGAAATAACTCTCAGAATAACGTTATTAGCACATTTTACAACTTGAGGAACGAATGTTTTTAATAAGGGCTATACAAGTGTTCATACTGGGTAGTTTATTTAGTTTAAAAAAAATTATCCAACGATTTACAGACCACTCTTTCCCCATGTGAGTCAATGGGAAAAAGTGTTTCCGGGCCTGGCAACCAAAAGGAAGTGTAGTACCGCCGTTTGGCCAGCACGAATATTTTCATCAGAGTCCGGCGCACTTCCTGGGGGCTTGTGTAGACTCCCATTTCTGTTTGAATTACAAAATGGACATCAGAAATTGGCTTAAAAGGTCTAAGGATTTAATAAAACGAAATAGCGATGAAAGAACTGCAGCCGATGGTGCTGCTGGCGACCCTGCACCTGCCGTTGCAGCAGCACGCCTTAATGTCACAAGCTTGACCTCGGCAAACCCCGGGGCTGAGTTAGCGAGCCCAATCCTTGACTCATCAAGGCGGGCGCCACCAACGCTGTCCTCCGAGGCACAGCTCCTTGTGCCCCTACCATCACCACCTGCGTTGCCACACCCTGTACCACACCCGCCAGCATCCTCCTCCTCCGTGCCGGTGCCTCCACTACAGACGCTATCTTGCAGCACATCAACAGGTACTATTGGTACGCTCAAAGACCAACAGCCCCAGATGATCTTGGGGTTAATAAACCCAACCAGGTGAAACTGGATCGTTATTCAGGGAGATTGTTTTCAGGAAAGAAGCGCACTGTTGCCACTGCATGGTACAACAACAGACCATGGCTTGAATATTCGCTAAAAGCAGACGCAGCCTTTTGTTTCCCCTGTAAACAGTTTAAAGTAAATACGTCTTCATCTGATGCGGCTTTTACTGTCAAAGGTTTTTGCGACTGGAAACACGCATTACAGACTGATAAAGGACTGCTAAGACATGTGAAGTAAGAAGATATGATTCTACACTGTATTGAAGTAAACATGTATTGTTTGAACTGTTTTATGTAATCACAACGGTTTGGGTAATTATATATAGAATAGGAATGTTATTCTCACTTTCAAACTCACTGACTCAGAGATTCTGTGTTTCACACACCAACATTGATCCTTATCACCACTAAGAGCCAGATGCTGTTTCTAAGTCGTTAAAGACATCGTAAAATAGGAAAAGATCCCCTGGAAAAGGTAGGGAGGGGAGATCGGGACGGAGATAAGAATTGACTTTTGACCTTAGGGGACTTTGGAATTTCAAGTCCTGGAGAGAACTATTGAACCCGGCCAGAAGCGAATCCAGCCAGTCAGGGCACTTGGGGGAGGTGGTCAGTTTAAACAGCTCCCCCCCAGGGGTTCTCTGATTCGCTTGGGAGAAAAGTGGGAAGGAAGAATCGACAAATCTCCGCCCCAAAGACAGATAGAAATACTGACGTTTGTGTGTGTAAAATTGCTTTTGGGTTTGGTGAGTGGCAGGTCCTGAGAACTGTGTCCGTATCGCATCACAAACCTGAAGTCCAATTTCTTTTTGGTTTGATGAGTTGGCGGGTCCTGACGCATTTGTCCGCATCGCATCACAAATCTAAAAGCCCGGGGTACCCGGAGTACTCTGTATAACTTGTATATGTGTTTGATTTCCTACCAGTAAACTCAGATAATTGTTGTAACTTTTGATTCCGGTGTTTTCAATTCCTTTCTTAATTTAATAGAGATCCAGCCTCATCCAACGAACGGCGCGTAGCAGAGGTATTCTACTCCTACAAGTGGTGACTCCCGACGTTTGTGAGCTGATCTCTAGAAAGGAACACCGACAGCCAGGGGACAGAATCCAGTCCAGGGGGAGGACAAAGAGACACTGTTGACAACTGCAAGCGCGCTATAACACAAAAGGTGAGCAGACACCTGTTTTGAATATCAAAAATCTGTGATTGATTATACTAAAACTTTAGAGTTGTCAGCAGCGTTCTCAGTGTTTTTAGTCACGGTGGGAAATACAATACATATTCTAGTTAAATTAGATTATTAGTGCTTAGAGTCGGGTAGTTCAGTCCTTACCTAAGGCACAAAAGTGCTCATAAGAGGCGGGTATTCAGTCCCGTCCTATGACCCACTAACAACGAACGCTGTAACGCTGTAAAAGATGTATGGGGTAAATTCCCCGCAAGTCAAAATAACATTGATTAATGCGGTTAGCTTGCAGTGCGTCAATTAAAGACTGCAAAAGGTGTAAAAAAGGGTTGCATTCCCCGCAGATCATGATAAGATTGATTAATGCGGTTACCTTTCGTGGTGCTTTAAATGTATAAAATTTCTGTAATTGTTATATGGTGGGTGATAGAGGAGGAGAGAGACGCGACCTCCAACTAATTATTTGGAACGACCGTATCTCATCACAAAACTGTTGTGGGGATAATCAGGCTCATTAAACGTGACGATAAAGAGATTTTGTTGACTGAGTTTTTAACTCTTGACCTGAAGTCGCAATCACCGTGAGGAGATTGTAGAAGCCTACTTCTGGAAGTCACGCTATCTGTTGAAATAAACATCGCACAATAAAAATGTGCCTGAATGTGATATGATAAGGTATGAGAAGCTCTGTGTGATTTTTTTTAAAGTCAAATCTGTGTAATACTTGAGAGACAGAGAGCAACGAGAAGGTGGTATAATGTCTGAGACCCTACCTCCACCCTAAGGAGATAAGGGCTCACAAATGCCACTTATGAGTATCCCATCTAATACTCCTAAAGGAAAACACATTGTTAGACCTGATATTCAGGGATAAGGAATGTTGGAAATAGTAATGGAAGATATTGAAAAATCTTAAACTGGATCAACCAACCATGTTAGTGAACCCTGCTAATATGGAGCTAAAACATGTAGAAAGAGTAGCAGCAGCTCTGGCAAAGACAATAGGTCCTAGCATGCAAGCACAGAGCGGTAATATGATAAGGGCTATTAAACTGACCCTTTTTGGAAATGGGATTTTCCGTTACATAACGGAAGACTCGATTCAGGCCTTAAAGAACGCTTTACAAACAAGTCAGGGAGTGTTAAATGTGTTGCTATGTTGCTCAAAAGGGAACTTACACTTTTGAGAAGAGATCTCCCTTTCTCGGTCCTGAGGTGCTGCTGACTCAAAGCAGCATACAGGGTCAAAGACAGGCGTGACCTCTGGAGAGGAAGAAAATCTAAATCTGAACAGACCACAGAGCCCATTAAAAGGTTTTATGGCCTCTACACTGAGAGGAAGATCTGGAGATTGTAAGGAACTCTCCCTGAATATCCACCCCCACACCATTGAGGGGAAGAGTGTTCCTTTCACCGATAAACAAATCATCTCTTAACCAAGTCAGATTTCAAAATAGCCATACCTCAAGTTGTTAAGAAAAGAGGGAGATTCAAAAAGTTATCAATAATTGCCCAGTATATTAAATAAATACAAACAGACACGTATCAATATAAGTCAGATAATGTAGACGAGGTCAATCATGGAAGAAGGCTGACATTTCATGCCTGATATATAAGTAATAGTAATAATAAATATATAGCTGATATTAAATAACTGATGTATAAGGCTCGATGTTTCTGAAAATAAGAACACCGTTAACGGCGTTCTATTTCAGTAAAAGGGGGAAAAGGATAGGATATACATCAGACAATATGTATGTGAGATTATTACGTTTTTAGGAGAAATTTATCAATTTAAAAATACTAGTTATGGTATTTTTTGTTTTGTTTTATTTGTTGCTTTTAAGAGAAATTGATACAGTTAAAATAATCTAGCTTTGGTTATTTTTTGTTTTGTTAGTTTGTTCCTTTTTTGTTTTATTTTTATTTTTGTTCTATTTTTTATTTTTATTTGGATTTTTGATTTTTATTTTTGATTTTTATTTTTTGAGATGATTTCAAAACCATATACAAAAGCAACTTAAGGGCTTGGTATGAGACTTCTCCACACAGGCTGCTGACGTCAAAAGGGGGACCCGAGAAACACAAGGCCAACACAGCAGATTACGTCTGGTTGGAGGGGACCTCCCATGCCGTTCGCCTAGATGGAAAGGGAGACAACTGGTACCACTGGAGCCAGTGTGCGGTCGGGAAAAACACCTGCGAGGACCCTGGACGACATCAGGACAGAGTTGGCCCTCGTCGCGAGGACCCTGGACGACATCAGAACAGATCTGGCTCTCGTCAAGGCAGTCGACCCAGGAGGCGCCATCAGCAGTCCGGAGGAGGAGGATCAGGACATCTCTCCAGCAGTCAACCCAGGAGGCGCCATCAGCAGTCCGGAGGAGGAGGATCGGGAGGACATCTCTCCAACAGTCGACCCGGAAGCCGCCATCAGCGGGCCGGGGGAGGACAATCAGGCCACATCTCTCTAGCAGGCACCCCAGAAGCCGCCGTCAGCGGGCTGGGGGGACGAAGATATGGCAAACCAAGACGGCACAGGGAACTCCATTTCCCGCTAAAACAGGTTGATATAGCCGGTGTGGAACTTTGTCTGAACAATCCATTTTTTTTTGAGGAACTTTCAACTTTATTTTTATATCCCATAATGTAAGGGATTTGTATTTTTTATTCTACAGAACTATGTGTTACCAAAAGAGGGAAAAGTATGATAATGTCTTTTCTGATTTCTGTGGCTACTTTTATTGCCATTTTGGTGACATGTGGTTGTTGTTGTGTGCCTTGTATCTGCTCACTGTGTGTTAGACTCATCAGTTCCACCATTGAGGGAAGAGTAAAGATGACTCAGCTGACAAGGACTTTGCTTTTTAGACATATTTTATTCTCCCTCCACTGTCATAATAAGTTGTTGTTGTGGACTGTTCCTAAAGGTTTAAAGTGCTCTATATCCCAACTTCTGATGGGTTTATATAAATGTTGGGACAGACACAGTAAGAAGAAAATTGACAGTGGTAATGTTTCAAATGCTATATGTTGATCTCGTGAGGTGAGATCAAAAGAGGGATTGAAGTAAGAAGATATGATTCTACACTGTATTGAAGTAAACATGTATTGTTTGAACTGTTTTATGTAATCACAACGGTTTGGGTAATTATATATAGAATAGGAATGTTATTCTCACTTTCAAACTCACTGACTCAGAGATTCTGTGTTTCACACACCAACATTGATCCTTATCACCACTAAGAGCCAGATGCTGTTTCTAAGTCGTTAAAGACATCGTAAAATAGGAAAAGATCCCCTGGAAAAGGTAGGGAGGGGAGATCGGGACGGAGATAAGAATTGACTTTTGACCTTAGGGGACTTTGGAATTTCAAGTCCTGGAGAGAACTATTGAACCCGGCCAGAAGCGAATCCAGCCAGTCAGGGCACTTGGGGGAGGTGGTCAGTTTAAACAGCTCCTCCCCAGGGGTTCTCTGATTCGCTTGGGAGAAAAGTGGGAAGGAAGAATCGACAAATCTCCGCCCCAAAGACAGATAGAAATACTGACGTTTGTGTGTGTAAAATTGCTTTTGGGTTTGGTGAGTGGCAGGTCCTGAGAACTGTGTCCGTATCGCATCACAAACCTGAAGTCCAATTTCTTTTTGGTTTGATGAGTTGGCGGGTCCTGACGCATTTGTCCGCATCGCATCACAAATCTAAAAGCCCGGGGTACCCGGAGTACTCTGTATAACTTGTATATGTGTTTGATTTCCTACCAGTAAACTCAGATAATTGTTGTAACTTTTGATTCCGGTGTTTTCAATTCCTTTCTTAATTTAATAGAGATCCAGCCTCATCCAACGAACGGCGCGTAGCAGAGGTATTCTACTCCTACACATGCCGCCGCATCAAAAGAACACATTTCATGTGAGAGTTTGTGGAGAGAGAGACAGATACGCGAGGAAACAAATAAGGAAATTAGTACTTTGGTGCACACAGATCAGCTGGCACGGAACCGTTATTACGTGTCAGCTGTCGTTGATATTATAGCTTTTTTAGCTGTCAACCAACTCCCTCTCAGAGGTGACCACGATTCACTCTACAGCATGTCCGAGTCAGGCAGTGGGCTCTTCTTATCGCTGTTTGAGTATACGCTGCACAAAGATGCAGAGTTGGCCTTGCTGTTTGATATATATTGTGCCGCAGGCCCGCAGCACATGACGGTTTTGTGTGCCCTCCCATGAAAATCATATGCCCTCCCTTTAGATTTGTTCTGGCGCCGGGTCTGCCTACCCCACCTTTAATTGTATAGTGAGTGTGATACAATACCTTCAATTCTGTATACTTGTATATTTATATTGTGTATTCAATATCTATACTCTATAGATACTGTATATTTCCTTCACAATTTATATGTTTATATAATCACTGTTTTTGTTTATTTTCTACTGTTGATATTTATATCATTAATGGTTTTACATGTTATGTCTTAATGGTTCATGTGTAAGGTCTTATGTCTTAATGTCGGAAAAAACTTGGGGTCAATTAAATATCTAATCTAAAAACATTATTTTCTGAGGTTTATGGATTATGTCCGAACATGTAACCTTTTTTTTTTACTTAGATTAACTTTTAGAGTTATCTTTGTTCATTATAGTGCTGTTTTTGTTGTTATTTATTACAGGCAATAACATGTATAATAACAGTAGAAAAATGCTGAAACCTTTCTTTTAAATCAGGGGTTTCAAACCCAAGGCCCGGGGGCCAAATCCGGCCCGTGACTTCATTTTCTGTGGCCCCACAAGAGCTTGCAAAGAATATAATATGTTTATTATACGGTTACATGCATATTTACAGAAACACGTTGCCCATAAACTACATGTCCCACAATGCATCTCAAATTTGACTTTCTTAGAATTTGACCTTATTTCAAAATGTTACTTTTTTTTCAAAATGTCGCTTCCTTTTATTACATTTTGACTTTTTTCCAGAATTTGGCTTTTCTTTTAAATCATTTTGTGCCATGCTCACTGAAGAGACTTGCAATGATTTGCCCTAGACTTCTGCTTTCAGACGTAGTTCATTATGTAGCTATTACCCTATCCCAAAATAATCCAATGCAGAGGCAATCATGGAATATAATACATTATTTTATATATATTATATATTTATATATGTATTTTTATATAGTCTTAAAGTTACAACCGGCCCTTTGAGTGCAACCATAATGCTAATGTGGCCCGCCATGAAATTGAGTTTGACACCCCTGCTTTAAATAATTAGTTTAATTCTGTCCCTTACCTGGAAACTGCTAAACTACCTTGTTATTATCGAGCTGTATTCTTTTTTAAATCTTATTAAGCACATAGTTATTAAAACGAACCTGAAACGGCGACGGCCAGAAGCAGCAGCACAGCGCAGCCTCTCACTGCCGACATGTTTTCACTGAACATCTGTAACAAAGAAACTGGACTTTTAATGACTTCGCATTAGATCCAAATATGTTTTCAATTCATAGAAATTGTTAAAAAAAAAAGAAATCCGCCACCAGATTTATTCTCAGTTGACCCCTCAAAGCGTTTTGCACATATTTTCATTTAATTTAAGTTACGAAAATGGAACAAAAAGTTTACAACCCAAGCTAGATCTTGGGAAACTGAATGTATCGTAATTTTAACCCATTTATTAGAGAGTAACCCCTGAATATAAGTTATTCATTTTGAGCGTAGAGAGAAATGATCAGCTTACCTGTGCAGATTCTCCGCCTGCTCACCTGGGCTCTGCAGCTGCCTTTTATACAGAGACTTGTCCTCGTTCACATCTTTTGTTGAAATTGTCTTTTGGTCTGTTTTGTTCAGAGGAATCTCACGCTGCAACAAAGAGAGTGACCTACAACGAGACAAAGGTATTGTCTCTGTTTCTAAGCTTTGCTACACCTGGGAAATAGAGAACATAGAGAAATATGTCCAGGGCCTTAGTTATCGTGAAGTGATTATTCATGATTGAGACACATGTGCGTTCGTAGTGGATACATATATATATTTAAGTGACAAATGCCTTGTTAAAAGAAAGTTCAAATCAACAGTTCAAGCTCAATGTCTCAAACACAGGTGTCGTGGCCCATTCTTGTGGGATATCTAAAACTGTGACACGTCGACAGGGATCCGCTTCTTGACTCACACGTTAAAAACCATCCAAATAAAGCTCTGTAGGCGCTGATTTCTTTGCCTTCCTTGGCCGATTTATTTACTTCCATATATTTAAACAAACAAAATAAACAAAATGATCAGTGTAACGTGAGGTCAAAGACTGTTCCGATTCCCCGTTCATTGCTGGAGACGATTTCCACGTCACGCTCAGTCCCACCCCTTCCTTATATAACAGGTGTGGCTCGCACTAAATCAAAGTTTTCCTCCGAATAATTAATTCTGTACTAATACATAAATGGAAAGAATATATTAAGATCTAAATTAATATGAAAATAATACACTCATTGTCAACACAGAAAATGGCTCTAACATTCCAGCCCCTAATTGCATAGAATATAGCAATTACAACAAATAATAAATAGAGCCAATATTCAAAACAAATATTCATTTTCTTCTTGTCAGAGTTCATAGATGAAATTCATCTTGAGTTTCATAATTCGATTATCGATTTTTCTAGCTTCAGCCAGTAGTAGTAGTCCAGTTAATCTCCAGCTTCCAGGAGCAAACAGAGTTTTAACTAGAACACCACCCAGGAGTTTCTGGGAGCTGAATCGTCATAACAACGAGATCTCCAGAAAGAAAGTTCCATTTATTTCGCTGTTGCATTGTTGGAATGAGGTTAATGTCCTGTGCAAAGTGTTGCCTTTGTTCAAATGCAAGTATGGCCATTTCAGCCTTGTCCATATCTTCCACAGTCCGATTTGTGTTGACGGTCACTTTAAGGTTTATGGCTCGTTCCTTCAGTGATTGATCTCCAAGAGCAATCTTTTCCATTTCAGGATCCAAGCTACAGCTTTTTTTCAGGCTGTTCCAATCTGAGTAGTGCTCAATTAGTTCGCTTGTGGGACTTTTCCCCTCAATACTCATCACATTTACAGTGACATTCCTTTTCACTACAGGATCATCTGGAGAAAGAGAGCTTCGGGATATTTTGTCTGGGTTCCTTGGCCACTGAGACTCCTCCTCTTGCAGGAATTCAGGTCCTTGTAAGAGTTCATTGTTGAGTGATGTTCCTTTGTATGAAGATGTACAATCAAATACTACTCTTAGTGTCTTTTTCCGCTTGTGATACACCCTGTGGTGGGGTATGTACCACACCTTGCCATCATTTTGATGAAGGTCCTTCGATGGCCAACACACTCTCACTCCCTAAGCGTCCAGGAGTGACGCTTGGTCAGGGTCCCGTGGCGTCCAGTTGTGACACGCCGAGGCTCCTTCAGCTTCATAAACGGACGCAAAGAGCTTTCAACTGATTGCAATGTATTCCCATCGGCGTCGGTATTTGACGCTTAGGGAAGCACGGCATTCGTTTGTGTCGGAGGCTGTTAAAGGCAATGTGAGCGTCCATTCCCATTGGATAACGGAGAATTGTACACCCGGAAGTAAGTATTCCCCTTACTGTCGATTGATTTGACAGTGATATCTCCACTACTCATCAACTCAAAAACATCAGATTATCCTTGTTAATTAAACGACATTGATAGGTTTTAGTGTGTGTACAATGCTTTTGTCACGTTTTCCCCTTCAATTCTGAGAAACAAGTCGTTTTCTATGAGTTTTGGATGGCCGAAGACATTACATTACCCACAATCCTCTGTAGCAACCATAGACTGTATAAAACAATTAAATAATACATTATTCCGAGTGTGCTTGCTTTTCTCTTTGAAAGTCATCACATAACGGCATTGTAATACACGTTTCGGCTGCATTAAATATGACATATCTGCCGTAGTTAACTCTGCCCTGATGATAAGACTTCTAGACAAACAGGAACTGCCGCCAAAACTGAAAACATCTTACATTTCTTTTCACACAATACGTCTCCTTGCAGTATCAATACTAATTCGGCTGACTTTTATATTTGATCCAATTGGTAGAGAGGCTGTATTTACGCCATAACGGTGCACAGCTGATAGAAAGGGACACCTACTGGTTAAAGCACGTTATTGCATTTTATAATTTTATTATTAGATATTAATAGGATCTCTATAAAGTATATTCTTTACTCATCGTTATTCTCTACAAATAGTTAATTAAAGACTGTATATAATGACTATTTTGCACATCCCATTCAAGATTTCAAGATTTTCTAAGGTTTATTGACATTAAAGACTGTATATAATGACTATTTTGCACATCCCTTTCAAGATTTCAAGATTTTCTAAGGTTTATTGACATATCATATTATACACAACTACGGTGTAGTTATGCAATGAATGAAAAACTTGGGTCGCAGGTTCCTCAACAGTGCATTACAAGACATCTATCAATATGTGTGTACCTCCACCATTACATTGTCATATTCTGCACATTTCTTATACTATCTACATACATCTTATAAGAGTATAATACATATGTATAATATCAGTTAAAATAAGTGCTTAAACATAGTTAACATGGCAGGAAAGCAATATATTAGACGTTAAGTACTTTGTCAGGCTTAATATTTATCTGTAGATACAAATGTCACTGTGTGTGCTGTGTGCTCTGCATGTGTGACCAATGTCAAAGACGGTTTCATCCCTCCATATTCATCTTCTATACCCCCAAAGCTTTTTTCTTATTCAAAACAAGACCTTAACCTAAAGCATTCTTTAATGTTTAAATAAAGCCTTATTAGTTTGTCTGTTTTGCACATCCTCCTGTTAATATCTAATAATAAAATTATAAAATGCAATAACGTGCTTTAACCAGTAGGTGTCCCTTTCTATCAGCTGTGCACCGTTATGGCGTAAATACAGCCTATCTACCAATTGGATCAAATATAAAAGTCAGCCGAATTAGTGTTGATACTGCAAGGAGACGTATTGTGTGAAAAGAAATGTAAGATGTTGTTTAATTGCTGATATATTTAAGATCCACGTCAAGTTTTCAGTTTTGGCGGCAGTTCCTGTTTGTCTAGAAGTCTTGTCATCAGGGCAGAGTTAACTATGGCAGATATGTCATATTTAATGCAGCCGAAACGTGTATTACAATGCCGTTATGTGATGACTTTCAAAGAGAAAAGCAAGCACACTCGGAATAATGTATTATGTAATTGTTTTATACAGTCTATGGTTGCTACAGAGGATTGTGGGTAATGTCATGTCTTCGGCCATCCAAAACTCATAGAAAACGACTTGTTTCTCAGAATTGAAGGGGAAAACGTGACAAAAGCATTGTACACACACTAAAACCTATCAATGTAATTTAATTAACAAGGATAATCTGATGTTTTTGAGTTGATGAGTAGTGGAGATATCACTGTCAAATCAATCGACAGTAAGGGGAATACTTGCTTCCGGGTGTACAATTCTCCGTTATCCAATGGGAATGGATGCTCACATTGCCTTTAACAGCCTCCGACACAAACGAAAGCCGTGCTTCCCTAAGCGTCAAATACCGACGCCGATGGGAATACATTGCAATCAGTTGAAAGCTCTTTGCGTCCGTTTATGAAGCTGAAGGAGCCTCGGCGCGTCACAACTGGACGCCACGGGACCCTGACCAAGCGTCACTCCTGGACGCTTAGGGAGTGAGAGTGTGTTGCGATGGCACCTTCTCCGCATAGCCTTTTGTGATTCCATCTTCCATGAAAACCTTGTACTCTTCAGCATAAGCAGCATCCTTCTTGAATTTCCTAGCAAGGTAATGTGCTCTTTGCTCAGCTATATGGTGATTATTGGGCATGATGACATCACTATTACGAAGTGGCAAAGGTAGATAATAGTGATTATCCTTCAGTGTAGCTGCACTTGATACCAGCTGCCTGAATTTACTTTCTTCAGCTGACATTTGAAGTTTTCCCTCATATTCTCTCTCTGGGAAATCATGATGGTCCTGATTTACAAGAAGGTTTTCCAGTTTTTCAATTGAGATGCGGTTTACTGATGCCACTGGTCTTCCAAATGTGTCCACAGCTGTAGTTGAACTAAGCGGTCCATTGACGACCCATCCTAAGAGAGTTCTTACAGCATAAGGACCATTACCTTGGCTATTTATGATTTGCCAGGGCTCCATTGCCTTTGGGACATCTACTCCGATTAAGAGTTCCACATCCGCATCAATTTCTTGTAGTTGTATTTCCTTCAAGTAATGCCACCTGTTGAGATCCTTTTGAGAGAAAAGGTTCCTCTTTGTCACTGGTATCTTTGTTTGTGTGTATGTCTTCTGCAGCTCAATAAAGTTATTCCCATCCAAATCCCCCACTTGTAGTCCAGTTATTTCATAACTATCCACTGGTTTCTTTTGA